ATCATATATGCCTTCTGCCACTCTGCTCAGCTTATATATATACAATTAATTGCCACCACCACCAATCCTTCTTAACTTTCATGGCGGCGGCGGCGGCGGAGAATTAAACTAACAATCAGTAATTTCCGATCCCCAGCTACTCCTCACACTTCCTATCCCTTCATAATTAAGCTGAACCAAGATTCCCACCATTATTTTGTTCCTCCAAGATTATTGCTACTTACCTGGAGAGGAAAAGCTAATAACCATTCTGATTCTTGACGGAATCCAAGCTTAATGGCTCATCTCTCATGTATCGTTGTGGTTCCGGCGGCCGTCATTCTCCTGTTCCTCTGTCAAGGTGAAGTTGTTTGCTTTCCACTGCAACACTTTTGTAGTTGAGTTGTGTAAATGATGCGTCTTGGGACTTTTGTCGAACAGGTGGTAGGGGTGCAATGTTTACGCTAGTAAACAAGTGTAGCCAAACGGTGTGGCCGGGAATTCTGGGCAGTCCGAAGCTTGACACGACGGGATTTGAGCTGCCGAGAGGGAGTTCTCGATCATTCCAAGCCCCTACCGGATGGTCCGGCCGGTTCTGGGGAAGAACCGGCTGCAGATTTGACGATTCCGGTAGCGGCTCATGCGCCACCGCCGACTGCGGGTCGGGCCAAGTGGAGTGCGGCGGCGGGGGCGCCACGCCGCCGGCCACACTCGCGGAGTTCACGCTGGGAACCGGCTCTCAGGACTTCTATGACGTCAGCCTCGTCGACGGCTACAATTTGCCGGTGACGGTGGACGCAAGCGGCGGGTCGGGTCCGTGTGCCTCCACGGGTTGCGCCGAGGATTTGAATCAGAAATGCCCCGCGGAGCTGAGGACGGAGAATGGGAGAGCTTGTAGAAGCGCGTGTGATGCCTTCAAGACTCCGCAGTATTGCTGCGCAGGCGCGTACGCTTCACCTTCCTTGTGCTCGCCTTCCATATACTCGCAGCTCTTCAAGTCGGCGTGCCCCAAATCGTATAGCTACGCGTATGACGACGCCACGAGTACATTCACGTGTACCGCAGCTAATTACATCATCACATTTTGCCCCTCATCCGCTCCTAAGTAATTAATCATATTTCATGTGTCACATTTTATGTTTGATATTAATATTTTGTCTCGAGACATATTATGATTTTATAAAATACATGATATTTTTTAGATCATCAGAATCTGAGGGTACAACAACCGAACCCGGTTCAGGGATGGAAGCTGAACCGGAGTCAGGGACAGAAGAGGAGCCAGAGTCAGGGACGGAAGCGGAGCCGGGATCCGATTCAATGCAGAGCGCAATGTTGGCGGATGGGTCGTGGTTGGCGAATTTGGCCACGGGGGGTTCGAACCGGCTAGACCACTCTAGGGGTGGTGTCCAATTCATGACATTCAATATTGTTATTGTATTTTTGCATAGATTATTGCAGTCATAATGTTAATTGTATTTCACTCATTTTATATTTTTACCCTTAACCATAGAGAATATAGGGCGAAATAAAACATTCTTAAGATTGTCATACGAAGCAATAATATTGTTAAATGTGTGTGTCTGCTTCCTTCTTCTTTTTTTTTTTTTTTTTTTTTTTACATATAGCATCTAGTATCTCATTACTATAAGACTTATCCGAAATTCCGAATTGAGGTTGGGGTAAGGATGGGTAAGTTAAAATGAATTGCAAATTAACAAAACAAGGTAATATATTTAATTTAATCTTCATTTTAAAATAGAGAGTACTAACGCTTATTAGTAACCGTTTGAGTTTCAAATTTCTTTTACTACCAACAACATGTGATTTAAGCGAATAGAGTTTGTTCTCTTTAAAATAAGGTCTTGAATTCATCAAGCTATAAGTGTTATAAAAACTCTTTGAAGAAGAACTAAACCTAAACATGAACTAAAAGAATCATGTGAAAACGTGGGTCTTCTCAGCGCGATTACCTCTCTATATGATTTATAAACTGTTAGACAAGTGCATGGTTGATTCAATTCAGTGTATGTACACCCTCAAATAGTGATTGACGATTTCCCTCGTCACTCATGTGACGAAAACAAAAGCATCCTTCTCCCCCAACCCTATCTCCTTACAGGCAAAGAGAGACACTCTTTTTGCTTGTATTATATTCCTTTTAGATGCTTGGGAATGTAAAGGACAAGTAAAGTAATGTAGTCTTTGTGAAGTAAAAGCAAACTCATTAGTACTTGTTTATTCTACCTGTTTGGGATCATATTTATTTAATTTTTGTATCCTTTACAGTCGTATTTTTTGTATTCTTTTGTTAGAAAGAAAGATAAATAATTATTAGGCAGGCCGGTGGTTGAAATGTGATTAATTAATTTTCTTTAATTGTTGAAACACAGAGGTAAAAGTATGGGTTTTAAGGTCAATCCATCCATGGCGTGCAAGCAAGTTTTCTTCAGGAGAATCTCAAAGTTCAGTGGGGCTTTTAGCCATTTTATTCCCTTCTGCTTTAAGTTGTGTTGTTTCCTAGCAATATCAAAAGCAAAAGATCGATCAGAATTGCTGTTATGGTTAATGATTTCCTATAGGATTGGAGCAAAAGAAAATTTTCTATTAGACCCTGTTTGGTAACATAGTTAGTTTATCAGTCAATTTTAACTTATTTGATCACTATTAGTTGTTTGACTTGGTTAAACAATCAATATAAGTGTTTGATTAATTAACTTTTTGTAATAGTTTATTGCTTCAAAAAGTTAAAATTCAAAAACTGCTCAATGCAACTTTTTCTATTAGCTTTTTGATAAAGTCATTTTGCATATAATCAAACATCTTTCTACAATCAGCTAATGCTATCAACTAGTCAAATCCACTAATCCAATAAGCTAACAGCTATTTACCAAACACCCCTATGTGTAAGTGATTAAGAATGATACTATGCAACTACCATGGATTGAAAAACTACACTTTTATAGATTTTATCACTGATATCTTTTTGATATAGAACAAAAAAATTTCAAAATTTATCAACATATTTTGTAAATAAAAAACAATATTTAATCCAAATATTGTATCCCATCCTCGAAAGGATAGGGATAAGATGACAATCTACTGTGGCAGATGCCATGACATATTATTATTTTCGTGTATTTCATATGTATTTTACAAATCAGAGTTCATATATATCTCATGACTTTTCGTATTTTTTACGGAATAAAGCAAGACAAGATAAATTAATTCCACAAGTTAAACTCGTTTTGATGATTCTAATTTACTCACTTGCTCTATCAAAATTTAAAGATGACAAATTTGGAAGTCTTTTAATTTACACAACTATCTCTTTCTTAAAAGACAGTGACAGAGATAAAGGTGCATAGTCTATCCTTAATCCTTGTGTGATGTTTCCTATCTGTAACTATTCCCACTTTAAGATTGCTTTTACACACAGCTTTCTTGACTTCCACACAATTGCACAAGAGATTATTAAATATACTAATTACGTACACTAATCATTGCACTTCTCAATTATATATGGCTAAGAAAATTTCAGTATAAATTTGAAATGAAAGTTTCTAACCTTTAATTATTCTTTTTAGACTCTTGAAATCCTAATTAATTGTAAGGTCGAAAGTTTATCATAGTTAACTTTCATTGTCACTGTTTCACTTTAATACAAATGATGACGACCATGTTAAGACATGAGTCTTGTAAGAGCAAGATTAATCGTAAATTTTTTATTTTATTTTTTGATTTTTTGGCAACTTTTTAGAGCCAAGTGAAAAAAGATGGGCAAAAAAAAAAAGGTGGGAAATTAAGCATAAAAATATGACAACTTTTATTATATGAATGAGGTCATGAAGTTGAAAGATAAGACTCTATGACTAGGGATAGATTCTTAACCTATATATGGCAGAGAAAAGAAATGAAGCTTTCAGCTTTCTAACATATTCACAAATTCTAAAGCTACATAATGGACCATAACACCTATATATTGCAGTTATTGACAAAAAATCTGCAGGGATATCAATTTATACTATACAGCCATAGTTAAGATGTTCAATATCAAATAGTTCATGTGACTATAACCCAAATATCAAGCATTTACTCAATGTATATATAGTAACTCTATCCCATCCACTTCTCTTTTCTTTTCTCTCTTCTGAATAAAACTGATACAACATTTAAGGCCAAATTCTTAATTCGGTTAGTTACAAAAGCTAACTCAAGAATAGATGTTTGATCCAACTTACAATTTCTTGTGGAGTTGAAGTGAGATTGTGTCATTTGGCATTCGGATACAACACTTAAGTCAAATCTTTAACTTAGTTACAAAAGCTAACTCGCTCTAAAGAGTGTAGTTGGTACACAAGAAGCCCAGGCCCAAGATCGAGACTAGCTTGGGGTAGGCCTGGCACAGGACCAGCCCAAGCCCGGACTTTGGGCGCCTTTAAAGAGTGTAGTTGGTACAAGTTAAAATAATACATTATTGGTCAAAACTTAGATAAAAAATAATTGAACTTTTAATTCTAAGAAAAACAATGAATCATGTGCCCACCGTGAATCAATAATCGAAACTCCACCCGAGAGGCAATTCTCATTTATTAGAACAATGTTTTGGGACACTCAAATTTTTAGCATATAATATGTTCATTTTTAATGTATTGTTAGTCAAAATAGACTTTTTTACTACCATAAAAATAAAAATGAACATTATACTAAATATAAAGTTGTATTAAATGTAAACTGTTACATTCTGCCAGATGAATGACTGACTGGTTTTGCTAGACACATGTTTTTCATGTGAGTGTAACTAAAAAACTAGTTGGTATATATAATAAATATTTTCAAGAAAAAATATTACTTATATTCTAAAAATTAAATTTACACCCTCACACAATTTTTTAATATAGATAATTTTATTAGACTCATAGAATTAAGATAATTAATTATTATTAACTATCTAAAGAAAATAAAAATAAGAGTGTAGAATTTGAAAGTCTATGCAAATACAACTCATTTTCATGTGGTCAACCCGGTATCTTTGCAATTAGATTCTCCGTGGTGTACGTGGACAAACAGTCCAGCAAAAACTACATTCGAATCCAGCCGTGATTTAGACTAGATTCATTTTCCGCCGGCGCCGGACGAAAAACATGCCCGACACCATAGAAAGTGCCGAAGAAATCTCCGCTCCTCTAAGTAAGCTGTCTGGTTAATACTATTCAGAGTTTCTTCACTAGTCTTATTCCTAACAGCCTGCTAAAAAATGTGCAGTTCAAAAGAGCGAAGCATCGTGGAGTTCTCCGGCGGACGGGGAAAACTCTCCGGTGGAGCAAGTGGCTCTGACGGTGCCGGTGACCGATGACCCGACCTTACAGGCCGTCACGTTCCGGACGTGGGTTCTGGGGGCGCTGGCCTGCTTCCTCCTCTCTTTCCTCAACCAGTTCTTCTGGTACCGCCGCGAGCCGCTGACCATCAGCTCAATCTCCGCCCAGATCGCGGTGGTGCCGCTGGGGCACTTCATGGCGAAGGTGGTGACGCGGCGCGTGTTCTTCCAGGGGCGGAAGTGGGAGTTCACGCTCAACCCGGGACCGTTCAACGTGAAGGAGCACGTGCTGATCACCATCCTCGCCAACTGCGGCGCCGCTAATCCCTACTCCATCCACGTCGTCACCGCCGTCAAGGTTTTCTACCGGCGGGCGTTGAGTTTTTGGGTTGCGTTGACCGTCGTGGTGACGACGCAGGTTTTGGGGTTTGGATGGGCGGGGATTTTCCGCCGGTTCTTGGTGGAGCCCGCTTCCATGTGGTGGCCCCAAAATCTCGTCCAAGTCTCTTTGTTCAGGTATGTGCTAGTCCATGTTAACATCATAGCTAAATTGTACATTATGTGTTAGAATAATGTACGTTACGTATTAGAATAATAAAACATCTGGAATAATATAATGTACATTATGTTTTAAAATAATGTACATTATTTTTTAGAATAATGTACATTATGTGTTATAAAAATATATGTTGCAGTTGAGCGTGTGAAAATATAAAATTAAGCAAAACGACATTGTTTTTGGACCGTGACCGTTCACGTAATAACTATTGTAAACCAAGGTTGCAAAAATCAACATTGTTTTTGGACCGTGACGGAACACGCAATAACTATTGTAAACCAAGGTTGCAAAAATCACATAATTGGTGCCTAGGCGCTAGGCAGCGACCGGCCGCCTAGAAATTCGACGGAATCGCCATTCTAGACAGTCGGCCGCCCAGGCTCTCTAGGCGGCCTAGGCGCCGAGTAGCTAAGTTGTCGTAGACTAGATGGTCATTAGGCCTTCTAGGCGGTCGGCCGCGGTGGCCTAGGCACCGAGTAGGTTGCCCTAGACTAGGCTGTCATCTAGGCGGGAGTTTAAATAATTTTTTTTTAAAAAAATCTTTTAAATTTAAAAAAAAAATACGGGGTGCCTTGGCGCCAATTAATCGGCTGACGCCTAGCGATTTTTTCAACCTTGTTGTAAACTATATTACATTAGTTTATCTTCTTGTGATTTTTTGACGGGCCCGCCACAAGGCGGGCTTATAGTTGTGGTTTGAAGGTTTACTATTCCATTGAATGACAGGGCATTTCATGATAAAGAAGAAAGAGGCAAGGGTGGATTGACAAGAAACCAGTTTTTCCTAATGGCCTTCATCTGCAGCTTTGGTTATTATGTATTCCCAGGCTACATTTTCCCAATGTTATCATCAATTTCCTGGTTATGTTGGCTATATCCTCGTTCTGTGTTAGCCCAACAACTCGGTTCTGGCCTCAAAGGTCTTGGCATTGGAGCCGTCGGGCTCGATTGGTCCAGCATATCCTCCTACATTGGAAGCCCTCTAGTCAGCCCCTGGTTTGCAACTGTTAATGTTGCAATTGGATATGTTCTTATCTTGTATGTTGTAACTCCTGTCATGTACTGGAACAATGTTTACAAAGCCAAGAATTTCCCTATATTTTCAGATGGCCTGTTTAAATCCAACGGTGAAGAATACAACATTTCTGGGATAATAGATCAGGATTTCCATATTGACATGGAGGCATATGAGCAAGAAGGCCATCTTTATCTCAGCACCATCTTCACCATGACATATGCTTTCAGTTTTGCATGCTTCGTCGCCACCATTGTTCACGTCGCCCTCTTCCATGGACCGTAAGTAACATTTTCCCTATTTGGTAAATGGCTGTTAGCTGATAACTGTTAGCTGTTAGCTGATTGAGTTATATTGATTTTTTAACCAAATCAAACAATTAGTAGTGGTCAAATAAGTCAAAATTGGCTTATAGGCTAACTATTTTACCGAACAGAGCCTAAATCTTTGAGATGCAGAGATCTATGGCAGCTTAGCAAGTCTGCTTTCCAAGAGAAGAGTATGGATGTTCATACAAAGCTGATGAAACGATACAAAGAAGTTCCCGAGTGGTGGTTCACCGGGATCTTGCTTGTGAACATTTCTGCAACCGTGCTGATATGTGAATGCTTCAAGAACCAGCTGCAGTTGCCATGGTGGGGCGTCTTGCTCGCGTGTGGCTTCGCCTTCGTTTTCACCCTTCCCATTGGTATAATCACTGCTACCACAAACCAAGTAATCCTCGATCTAGGCCTTAGTAGTTTAATTTTTCAGATTGTAGTATGTAGTTGGTGTTGAGCATATAACCATTAATGTGCAATCCAACTATCAGCTTAGGCTTTTAGTTGAGATCAGCGACTACGGTCCACATGTTGCTTAGAACCTAATAGTTTTGATCATTTTTCGATGCAGACTCCTGGTTTAAATGTGATTGCAGAATACATAATCGGGTACTTGTATCCAGGATACCCAGTTGCTAACATGTGCTTTAAGGTGTATGGGTATATCAGTATGAAGCAAGGGCTAACTTTTCTGCAAGACTTGAAACTTGGGCATTACATGAAGATTCCTCCCAGAGCAATGTTCATGGCTCAGGTTATCACCTTATCTGATCTTTTGCATGGTTAGTTAAGACAGAACGCATTCTTCAATTTGTATAAACTATCTGTCCCGTTTTAGGTGGTTGGGACCTTAGTGTCAGCAGTGGTGCATCTCGGGACAGCGTGGTGGCTGATGGAAACCGTGCCATATATCTGTGACCGGGGGCAGCTACCCCCGAGCAGCCCGTGGACTTGCCCGGGTGATCATGTGTTCTATGATGCCTCGGTCATCTGGGGTTTGATTGGTCCGAGGAGAATCTTTGGAGATCTTGGCTATTACTCAGCCATAAACTGGTCTTTCTTGTTTGGAGCTGTGGCTCCTGTTTTGGTCTGGGTGGCAAGTAAGGCCTTCCCAAACCAGAATTGGATTAGGTTGATCATAGTGCCTGTGCTGCTTAGTGGAACCATAAACATGCCACCTGCCACTGCTGTGAACTATAACAGTTGGGTTATCATTGCTTTTGCTTCTGGGTTCATAGCTTATAGGTACTATAGGAAGTGGTGGAGTCGCCACAATTATGTTCTGTCTGGGGCATTGGATGCAGGATTAGCATTCATGGGAGTGTTGTTGTATTTGTGCTTGGAGATGGAACATGTTAGCCTGGATTGGTGGGGGAGCCGTGTAGATGGGTGCCCTTTGGCTTCTTGCCCAACTGCACCGGGGGTTTTGATTGACGGTTGTCCGGTATTTTGAACAAGGGATCTGATATTCTGCGTACAAGGTGTCTTCACTACCAAGTTTATGTCGATTGGTTGCGAACACCCTATGAACAAAAATTGGGAAACATGGGAGAGGAAATTCATATGGGTAAAAAGCATTTTTCCAACTAAATATAATGTTGTTTTGTTTTGTTTTCCAACTTTAGCTTTTGTCTCATTCTTACACTTCATCTTGTATTCACAAAGCAATTATTGAAAAATATTAAACGTTCTTTGTCATATTTCGAGCATTCCCTTTAATTTTATTCACTTAACTATTTTTATTATTATTTTGGACTAATTAATTTAGACCCACGAATTAATCTTCTCCATCATGAATGCTTTAGTTTCATTGAGAATTCGGCATACAAGTTCAAACATGTTTCTTAACTCTAATCACATTTTCATCCCAAAAGCTCACTACCAAGCTAGACAATGGTGAGATTTTACTTTTACAACACCAGAATTTTACTAAATGAAAATAACCTTAACAATAGTGCGAGTCGACAAACTTTACCATTGTAGCCGGGGTGAGGAGCAAACCCCGGTTGCCCTATTGTCGACCCTAGTGTAGCCAACCATGAACACCCAAGCAAGGTAGTCTTGATCCAACAAGTCACCACCATCCTCAACAGCCTAGCTAGTGGCAAGAATAAAATATCTAATAGCTCATCTGAGTAAACATGACATTGGAAGCATCGAATGGAACTACGTTACTACAACAAACCTCGACCCCGTTCGTATGGGGCCAAGTGTAGTGTTGCAACCTATCTCAATTAACATGAGGTAGCTCAATTCAACAAGTTAACATATTGCTCAACAACTTGATGGTGCAAATTCAAAGCTTAATCTTGGCCGACCATACAAACTTGATCAACACTACTCATACGAAATCTAAATGGGATGACCTTGGCTCAACTGACCCGTACCCATTCGTAGGGGGGGAGCTATGTTTTTAAAAAAAAAAAAAAAAAAAAGTTTTTAGCATAATTTTAGGTTGTTGGATAAAAGATGAGAGAGAAGAGATAGTGCATGTGTGTGGTGTTCTTGTAATTTGGATTTTTTTGTGTGAGCTGAATATAGTAATTGTGGGGAGTTGAATTGAAAAAATTATTGAAACACTGCTTCGTGTACTGTCCCTGGCTCCCTGCTAGGGACGATTTGAAGAGACCACCGACTTCTTTTTTATTTTTTTTTCTTTTTAATATCTTGTATATTTTAATCATAATTCCAATTAATTCAGTGGAACAAGTTATTGTCCGATTTATTTAGAAAACGTTTGAGAGGCAAGTATCCTATTTTAGTTCTGGTGTGTGTTTGTTATTTATTGGTCACGTTTTTTTTTTCAAAAATATTTTTTAATAATTTTTTAAATTTAATTATTTTGTGTTTAATAGGATATTTAATATAATTAATAAATATATAAAGTTTATATATTAATATTAAATTTAATATTAAAAAATTAAATTATAAATCCAGTAAAGTATCATTAATTAAATCAAACACAAAATTAGACACTAGGAGTATGTATACATATATATATTTTTTTTAATCTCACGATTTTTGTTCTTATGATATTTTTGAACAGTTGGTAGAGATATTAAACATAGTCCAAGAAGATAAGTCTAGGAAGCGGAGTTCAGCCCAAAGTGGATTGGCTAGATTGATGCCCAACCTCAGGGTCAGTTGGCCTGAGGCCTGACCACGAGGTCGACTTGACCGAGGTCGTATGCCAGCTGTTACAGGTGTTCGCTTCGCTTGGAGGAGCGTTAGGGTCACTGGAGTGCTACCAAAATAGTGGTTAGGATCTTTATTGTTTAAATAGTCCAATTCTTGTCTTGTTGACACACTTTTTTTTTTTTTTCTCATTCTTATACTTCATCTTGTTTCACAAAAGCAATTATTTGCAAATATTACGAGTTCTTTGTCATATTTTGAGTATTTCCCTTTCATTTTATTCATTTAACCATTTTATCATTATTTGTGGGGCTAATTAATTTGGATGTCACGCTAATTATCTCCCATCATTGGTACTTTTATTGATAATTTGACATACGTTCAAGTTCAAACATGCTCCTTTAACTCTAATCACTTTTTCATTTCAAAAGATCGTTGCCAATACAATGGCGAGATCCAACTCTTGCACCATCAACATTTCACCAAATGAAAATAACTTCAATAGATCGGAACGCGCGACTCAACAAATTTTGCCATTGAGATCGGAGAAGGATTTGAGAGATCTATCACTTGAACCACAACTAATGTGATATATTGGAGATGCCATATTGACATGTGTAAGTCTCAAACGTGCAATGCACACCGAGAAGTAAAAAAGTTCAAATGTATGAATACAATGAAATATTCGAACATTTCAAGGGGAAAAAAAACTAATCAACATATAATGCACGCATCGATGACTAAGAGCAATATCAATAATGTTTTTTCTTGAGTTTTATTGTCAAAATTTTGCTTATTTTGTCTTGTTGGAATTTAGATGAGAGAGGAGAAATAGTGTGTGAGGTGATACTGCAATTTGATTTTTTTTTTTTTTTTTATGGTCCTACAAAGAGAAAAAAATCAATAATCGTTGCACGCACCTGTCACTTTACTCATAGTATCTATTTGTCTATAAGTCACTGTCCCTACTAGAAACTGAACCTCAACAATTATGCCGTTTGACCATAAGATCTTTGACACTTTTTTTTGTTTTATTTTGTTATAGTATATAGTATCAATCATTATAATTATATGTATAATAATGAAAAATAGTAATACTACATGTACTCTCACTTTCTACTCCATTTTGTACTTTCCGTGAACCACTATTTTTCTTCATTCACTTGAATTTATTGGTATACGTGACGAGAGTTTATACTCCATGGGAGTACCGAGTACATATATCATTTTCCAATAAAAAAATTAATGTTGTAGGTCGGCTGGTCTATTGAGAAAGCAACGATTTTGTATGAAAATAGTCTAAGGGACCATTATGCTTTCCTAGTCTACAACACCCCATGCACGTCCGACTTAATGTTTCGGTTGTTCACCCAACATTTAATTCATTAACAAACGCAGACAAAAGCAGGACACGTTCGTTGTATAATTTTTTATTCCATTAATGGCCGTAATAAGTTCTCAGCTTCAAGCTCCGCCATTTTAAAGAATCCCAGTTCCACTGAAAACAACACCCTTTTTTTTGTGTATATTTAATGAGAGCTGAAATGGAGGAAAGGGAAGGGAGATCTTTGTCGGAAACGCCGACGTGGGCTTTCGCCACCGTCATCTCCGCTCTGGTCTGCGTCGGGTTCTTGATTCACGGCGGGTTGAAGAAGTGTGGAAAGGTAAAAAGGCGTAATCTTTATCAAGTTCATAACTTTAATCTATTGGAGCTCGGAAATTGGTGTATAAATGTCTACTTTTGGGTCACAGTGGCTGGACAGAACAAAAAGGAAACCGCTTCTTGCCGCATTGGAGAAAATCAAAGAAGGTATAATAATGGAGTTAATAATGTCTCTTTTACTGTTTAGTTTAGCTGGATATATATACTTATATGGTTTTGTTTCAATTCTGGGTGGAATCAGAGTTGATGGTTTTTGGTCTTCTTTCATTGCTAATGGGGCACTGGATAACTTTTGTTGCCAAGATTTGCGTCAAGTCATCAGCTTTAACCAGCCGCTTTTATCCATGCTCTAGATGGGATATAAAGGAGGAGGCTGCCATTGTAAATCACACTGTTTTCATGAGGTTTACTCATTTGAATGTCTCGGTTTCAAGGGAGTTGATGGAGAATGCCCAAAATCATCAGTTCTGTCCACCGGTATGAATGCTATATAATGTTTATGTCATCTTACTTGAAGTATTTTTGCTTTTTTCTTCACAATTAACCAATCCTGCTGCAGAGTGCATAACAGAATACTCAATTAGGTAAAATTATCGAAGTTTAGGACCCAATTAACACAGAAAAGACATTTAGGACTAAATGATTAAATTGGGTATTAACTCAATTTAACTTTTGAATGCTTGTTTTTCCAGGGCCATGAATCTTTTGCTTCAAAAGAGAGTCTTGAGCAGCTTCATAGATTCTTGTTTGTTTTAGGTATTACCCACGTGTCATTCAGCTTCGTTGCTGTCGCCCTAGCTATGATCAAGGTTGAGATGTGTTCTCAATTCTCAAATACCCTCTTCTTATGGCACTGAAATGTGTTTACTTTTCTCAAGAGACACCATACATTTTCATTTCATCTATGCAGATCTCTAGTTGGAGAAGGTGGGAAAACCATGCTAAGTCTATGGTTCTTCAAGGACTAGAAGGTGCACAAAATTCTGGTTCTCTTTGTATTGTTTTGTGATGGGTATATTTGTTTTGCTCTCATACTTATATGCATATATAGGTTCCCGTTCCTCGGAGGCTGCCTCGTACAACACAAAAATGAGGCGACTGTCTACTTTCATCTTTCACCACACCTCACATCCATGGAGCCAGCACAAAGTTCTTGTTTGGCTGGTAGTTTTTCACATCTAATCTTCTGTGTCTGATTGGTTGGAAACATAGTTTCTTAGTGGTTTGATTATTGCAGTTGTTTTAGTCCAATCATCTGATATATATGTAATTGTTAGGACTTAAGCAGAGATTTAATTCTTTGTTTTATACAAGAAGTCACATTGAAATTGATCTTTCTCAGCTTTGTTTCAGCCGCCAGTTCTGGAGCTCTATAAACCAAGCTGACTATATGGCGTTACGCTTGGGTTTCATTACTGTAAGTTGGCCCGATCGATGCCAAATCTTGAATTTACATTTCTGCTTTCTTGTGATTCGTTTTTCTCGCCATTACAGACTCATCAACTGCCCCTGATGTATGATTTTCACAAGTATATGCTTCGAAGCATGGAGGCAGAATTCCGTGATATAGTTGGCATCGGGTACCAAACCATAATTCCCACATTGAAAATTTTCTCATCTTTCACCATCAATATTTGGCATGATTCTCGCTTTCATCATAGTTTTAACTTAAGGAACATAACTGCTGTTCTATAGCAAAAATACAAACATGAATGTTTTCTGGTAAAATTCCACTTGATTGTTTTGCAGTGTCCACCTCTGGATTTTTGCCATCTCATGTGTTCTTCTAAGTTTTCATGGTAAAGGCTAATACCGATGAACTTTTTGATAACACATTTGAGCCTGAATGTTACATTTTTTGTCATTAATTTTGTGTCTTGAGTAAACGTAGAATGGGAAAGTTGTAACTTGTATGTTTCTTGTTCAGGAACAAATGTCTATTTCTGGATTTCCTTCTTACCAACAATTGTAAGTCTTCTAATTTTTCTCCATTTCGAGACTTGGGAATCAATCAATCCACATGTTACCCTTTCTCCCGAATTGTTATTGGTAGTTGCTCCTCCTGGTTGGTACCAAGCTGCATCGCATTGTGGTTAAGCTAGCGGTTGAAATCAGAGACGAAACTTCGTTGGAAGGTTTTCATCATTTCAATCTTCGGGACGAGCTTTTCTGGTTCGGGAGGCCTAGATTTCTGCTGCTGTTAATCCAGTTTATATCATTCCAGGTGATTTTTCGAGCTTTCACTTTGAACTATTAGTACATTCAAAGCTAAGCATACAGAACCTTGTTGATTTCTTGTTCTGATAAATGATTTTACAGAATGCATTTGAAGTGGCGGTATATCTATGGTCACTGGTAAGAACTATTTCGACATTTTCTGTCATTTCGAACCCCATTCTGTGCTAGAATAGCTTGAGGACTCGCGTATCGTTCTTGCCAGAAACACGTTTGATGGATTTCTTCGTCTTCTTTTCTTATCTGTCGCCAGTGGGAAATCAAAGGAGCATCATGCTTCACGCGAAACCATAGCTTTCTTGTGATTCGATTGGCAATCGGGTAAGCCTGCCAAGAACTATTAGCTTTTCTATCATTGCTTGAATTGCAGCATTATTGTGTTGCAGACTTGCAGTCTTGCAGATCTTTGATTTCTTGACAACTAAATCGAAATTTCTGCAGGGTTGCTTCTCAGATTTGGTGTAGCTTCATCACTTTCCCGCTCTACGTTATAGTTGCTCAGGTAACTCGAGCACATCTCGAACTACAAATCTAAGCTGATAGTTGTTTATATATTATATGCTCAACACCCCTCATGTGAGACACGTGGACCATAGTCGACCTATTGTATGGAATTGGCTCTGATACTAAATTGAACCATGTGTTCCATCTCAACTAAAAGTCTAAGCTGATAGTTATCTGTGTGCTGCAGATGGGTTCAGAGTACAAGAAAGCAATAATCTCGGAGAGTGTTAAGAAATCGTTGCACCGATGGCGATGCCGGGTTAAGGCAGGCAGGCAAGAAAGCTCTTCAACCTCTTCTTTTCATCATAGAGCTTTGACATCAACCACATCCTTGAATTCCGTGCCGGACTTCGTAGATCAGGCTCACAACACTGTGCCAGGCACCATAGAAGAGGCCTCTGCAAGGCAAGAAGATGTGAAGGTCTCAGTTCAAGAAGGGTCTTTGAAACATGGTGAAACAGATGAAATCTCAGAATGTGATGACAAGAACCAGGTTCCTGTTTGTCCAAAATATGGGAGTCCTGCCACTGATGATGAGGAAAAAGGCAGCCTATGAGTCTGTCTTGCAGTTCATGGACAACCTTAAACTCCATATATTGTCTGGTCTGAGGTTCAAATGTATGTTCAAAAGAACTTTGTTGACAAAACAGTACATGCAAGTAACCAAAGTTATAGTTTTTGCATATATTGCACTAATATCTACATCCACGACATAAAACTAATTCAATCAAAGTTGTATGGATTAGTATTTGTAACCGCGGAATAAAACTACATAGGTTGCTATCTAAGTTAGAACATCCTCATCAGCCAATGTTTTTTCACGGTCTTTTAAGTGCCACTAAAAAAGAGATAGTAGGGCAAGAAAAAAGGAGAAAAAAAAACTGAACATATATAAAAATACAAATAAAAAAAAAAAACTGAAAAAAAAAAGCTACAAACATGCCCAGTAGGCGCGTGCTATCACGATTCTTGCGCTCCACATGTAAGTTTCCACTAGACCTTCCACATGGGGAGCAACCGGATACCAGTGGACCACAAGGTTCTTGGTATTTAAGATTGAAGAATTTGATATGGTAGAACTACACTATTGACTCAAGTCAATCATGCCATGTGTTAGTGTTAGGGTCACTTCTATAAAAGTGATAGCCGGAGTGATTGCTTTGTTGCCTTTCACCCGTTTCTATGACTAGGTTCTTAACCTCATAGTTGGGGCTCGATCCATGACACAATTGATTGATTTTCAAATCATCAATATGTATACCGTATTATTTCGTACATAATAATATGTTAACTGTAAGTATATAATACGTTAAATGTAATAAATATACAATCTGTTAACTAAATTTGTATAATATGCTAACTTTAGCCACATAACTTGAACATGATTCATCAATGTTGATTCATAATATAACATTATAACTATTGATTTCAGAGGGGTTGGACGGGGTAGTGACTGGTGAAGGAGGGGAGGAGTTATTTCCAGTTTAACCCGACCCGTGTTAGATCTTAAATTTTACCAAAAAAAAAGTCATATCCCAATTCCCAAGTGGTTATGCGTAGCTGCGAGCGAGCTCGTATTCTTTTGATTGATTGATCGGAATTCCCTTTTTGGCGAGCAGAGAAATACAGACATCTTTAGCCGCTGTACAATTCTCAGTCTTTCGATCCTTTAAGCTCTTGTAGCCATGGTGCTCGAGGTCAGCCCTAGTTGACTATTCTTGCGTTCTCGCAATTTAGGTTTCATTATTATCATCAATTTCTAACTTCCGTATTTATGTTCATTATATCAGGCCACGATGATCTGCATTGATAATTCGGAGTGGATGCGAAACGGTGATTACTCGCCCAGTAGGCTTCAAGCTCAAGCTGACGCCGTAAATCTCATATGCGGTGCTAAAACCCAGGTTTTCTTCAAGTTCATAATATATTACTGCTTCAACGAGTTGAAGTTTTAGTTTTTTTTATTGTTTTTATTATTTAAAAAAACTATACAATTTGGCTAATTTTGCTAGAGTTTGTCTGATTTATGGTTTTGAGGATTTTGTTTTTTAAATTGTTCTGTAGTCTAATCCGGAGAATACAGTCGGAGTATTGACAATGGCTGGTAAAGGGGTTCGTGTTTTGGTCACTCCCACCAGTGATCTTGGAAAGATCCTAGCTTGCATGCACGGTGAGCTTTAACAGCTTAAAAGCTGTTTTGATTTTCTATTGATGCCAAAGGGTTCATGACTAGAGACTATTTAAAGAAATAAGTCATTTTTCTAGAAAAATAGAAAATTGGAGAAATGAAAAACTGAAATGTCTTTAAGACTTGCCAACTTGGTATAAGCTATATGCCTATAAATATCATAACGAAGGGTGTACTGACATTTGCCTCATATTTAAGAAGACCAATATGGAAGGGTATACTAATATTCTGTGGTTCCATACACATTCCTTCAAAACTGCTGTTCTCATTAATTTGTGAATTGACTGGTTGAGAAATATGGGAAATTTGGAATATATGCTACTTAAGGTTCACAAGTTATATTCTTAGGCCGACTCTCAAGAATCTGTAATTGAATCTGTTATTCTTCTTATTGTTCTATCCAGTCATTTCAGCCTTTTGTTATCATGTTTGATATTGTGCAATGACTTCTGTTTCCCTATTCAGGGCTTGAGATAGGTGGTGAAATGAATTTGGCAGCTGGAATTCAGGTAGCCCAGTTGGCTCTCAAGCATCGCCAAAACAAAAAGCAGCAACAAAGGATTATTGTTTTTGCTGGGAGGTGAATATCAACGAAATTTTATGTACAGGTTCTGTTACTATAACTTTTGATCTTTCATCATCATTTTTTATTATGCTTTTTTCAGCCCTGTTGAGTATGACAAAAAGGTATTAGAGATGATTGGGAGAAAGTTGAAAAAGAACAGTGTATCTCTGGACGTTGTCAATTTTGGGGAAGAAGATGAAGCGAAGGCTGAGAAGCTTGAGGCATTGGTTTCTGCAGTAAACAACAATGATAGTAGTCACATTGTCCATGTTCCTGCTGGTCCGAACAATCTTTCAGATGTGCTGATAAGGTTACTAGCCATATCATTAAATTCATTCGTTGAAATGTCAAATTGTTAATGTCATGTCACAACTATGTTGTATTCTTTTCAGTACTCCTATCTTTACTGGTGATGGGGAAGGTGGAAGTGGATTTGCCGCAGCTGCAGCTGCAGCTTCTGCTGGTGGAGTATCTGGCTTTGAATTTGGAGTGGATCCTAATTTGGATCCTGAACTTGCACTGGCACTTCGAGTTTCAATGGAGGAGGAAAGAGCAAGGCAAGAAGCAGCAGCAAAAAGAGCTGCTGGAGAAGCTGCAAATCAAGAAAAAGGAGACAAGCAGCCTGATTCCCAAGGTGCCACTATGTCTGAGAATGTTGCTGCCGGAACCTCTGAATCTGAAAGCAAGGGAGCTGATCTGATGGTGGGGATCCTTTATATGTTAAAGTCTAAAAGATGCTAAGAGAAATTCAAAAGCACAGAGTAACCCCCATATTTTCTTGGATGTCTTTCAGGAGGATGAAAATGCCTTGTTACAACAAGCACTGGAAATGTCTATGGATGATTCTTCTTCCAACATTACCCCGCGAGATACTGACATGTCAGAAGCAGCTTCTGAGGATCATGAATTGGCACTTGGTAAGTTGGTGCATCGATTAAGCTGTGTTTTTGTTTTAGATTTCTTTTTTAAAAAGATCACTGGATTTATCCACCTGAGAGGATGATGGAAGCATAAATGCAAAATTGCATTACAAAACTGGCACACACTTGATAAGAATTGCCTTGGGAATAATTTTATTGGATGAGTATTCAAGTTGCTGTCTTTCACATGAAAAAATGATCCAAGTAATTATTCTCTAAAGAGACTAAAATGTTCTTTAACTTAGGTTTACCAAAAAGAAATTGAGTGCAATTTATACTTCTTTGCTCCACTTTAACAATCTTTTCAGGGAAACTTACTGCACTAATAATGGTGTTATCCTGACCTAGTATTGAATAATCGTAGGATGGCTCATAGATTCAGCTTGACTCCCTGGACTCAAGACATCATCACAAAACGCCTGAAAATTATTAGAATCCTCTAAGTGAACCATTGATGTAAAGGGTGAAACATAGCGGTTGTAGTTGTAACTTTCTGTTCATTTTTTTTTCCTCATGGTGCTGCAGCCCTTCAATTGTCTGTGCAAGACAGTATGAAAGACCAATCAGATTCAACCGATATGAGCAAGCTGTTAGCTGACCAATCTTTTGTATCATCTATTCTTGCTTCAGTAAGTCTTTATGATACAAAAGCTAGTATTGTTAAAGTATATGTGCTATCTTGATGGATACATAATGTTGCCTAAGAACTTAAAAATGCATATTGTTTCGAACAGCTTCCAGGTGTTGATCCCAATGATCCTTCAGTTAAAGATTTGCTAGCTTCCATGCAAAGTCAGTCTGAGGTAAGTTTGTTAATCTGATTTAGTAAAACGCAAACTGCTGCAGTCTCTTTGACCTCTTAAAAAATTTATCACCGTACCAGCACTTTATATGTTTCTATATAATTTGCTTCTTGAAATATGCCCTTGCTATTGAACCTATATTAAGTGGTTCAAACTACTTTTTAGTCCCAAGAGAAAGACGGGGATGACAAGGAACCCAAGGATGAGGAGAAAAAGTGATTATGCCTCGAATTTGTTGTCTAGTGAGGTAAAATTTTTAAGTGTATACCCCAAAACCCTCCTCCATTCAAATTATTACTGTACTTTAACATTGGTCTAAGACACTATAGTGTTGAACTTTCAGGTTGACAAGTTCATAACGAGACCATGAAGTGCTCTGCAAGTTGACGAAACTGGGCTTTAGGTGTGTTTCATTGGGATGGACTATGGACCTAGCTATAGTTGATACCCATAGCGGGGAGAATTCAGTGTTTGTCTACTCTATTTTCGTATATAGTTGATGAAAAATTGTTTCTATCCACAGCAAAAACATCTCCTCCGAATGGCCTTTGATTTTCACGATTTGTGGTTATTCATTTTTGAGGTTTTAGTCAATGGTCTATGGCAATGGAAGCGGGTATTAAACTGCCATCCACTCCTGGCTTCTGGGTAGATTGGGAAATAATGGGAGTCGTGGTCTCATCTATAACTGTACTCAATGCTGTAATCAATGTTGTAAAAAAAATTGACCTTGGCGTTAGGCGAACTTATGTTGAAGGCTGGGACAACCATAAATATTATTCGATATGGATGAAAAATAAAATACATCAAAATTTTATAAAAATAATCATAACAAAATATTAAACATAATTATTTTGATAAAATAATTTAAATATAAAACAGATTATAAATTACACATCTTATTATTAAAATAAAAGAGAAAGTTTTTTTTTTAAAAATAAAACAATCGAAGACACTAAAACATGTTAAGGGGAGATTTGAACCCAAAACCTTTCATAAGCTACATGTAAATTTTACCAACTTAACTAACTCATTTTTCTTTTATTTTTATCTATACTTATACCTAAACATGTACTATATATATATATATATATATATATATATATATATAAACACTAGAACTATATATAGGGTGGGGTGGGAGGAGGGGGACAGCTGCCCCCACTATAGCTCCACCTCTGGTTGAAGGGATTTCCTCCTAGGTGCTATTTAAGCGGTCGATCAACTAGCTGGCCAAATTGGCCAACTCAACAAACTCGGTTGAGTTTGTTTTTTGTTTTTGTTTTTTTTTTTTTAGTCGATCTCATGCTTAGGCGCGCTTTTTCTTCAAACTGTAGGTATATCTTTATCCCAGTATGTCATTAATATACTATCAATCTTGACTCCTTCATGCTCAATACAGATTGTTAATAGTTACAATTTTTTATATATATATAATTTGTAATTTTTAAAATAAAATTAGCCAGCAAGGCAATGTCGCATACATCTTTGTGGTTTCTAGTAAAAAGAAATTTGTTCAAAATTTCATCATACATGAGAAAATTCAGAGCGTTTAAAAACTTCAAACAATTCAAACCATATGTAGGAATTTAAATGATACGCATATTGAAAAAAATTTGAAAAGAAAAATCTCAATATTGAGAATGCGCGAAATGATAATAATATAAATATATACGAAGTACATACTACAATATGATAAATACGAAAGTGACACCTCATATCAAGAAAATGTGCATAACATCTTAATTGCTCTTCAACGTGTTCCATCAAGGTACGATTTGAAAATGTGTGGATAAGCTTAGCTTGTTGGCAGAGAACACACCATGCGTGCATGCCACGGACACCATGCAAGAAGATATTTGGTGAAACTGTGAAAGCAATATTGTCCACCCAACATTAATTAGCTTTGGTGGCCTGCAGTGCATTCTCATTTCTTAAAAGAGGTTAAAAATTCAAAATCTCCTACTCACTTATTAGAAAAATTAATAAGCATCCGCATTAATTGGTCATGTCTGCTGAACCATTGAGTCACCGTAATTTACATGCATTGTCGGGTCGGAGTGTGGGGCCCTTAGGGTTGGGGATTCAACCTTTTGGGAGAAGAAAAATTAATACGCATGACTAGCCCTTTGCCCCTTATACAAATGTGACTCTTATAGTTAGGCCTAACTCAGTACACCTCGTGATTCAGAAAAAAATAATATTGTCCATCCAATAGTACTATATATGTCCCATAGTGGTTTTCCTAACTATAATAGTATCGTTGGTTTTAGTGTTTGGGAAGTTGGGTAAAAATGGGAAGTTTAGTGTGGGTTTTGTTAGTGGTTGCATGTTCATATGGAAGCAGTGGTGCAAGTGGGTACAGGAAATATGAAACTGGGGGTGGCACTGTTGATGACAAGTTGAATGTGCATTTGGTTGCTCACTCCCATGATGATGTCGGCTGGTTGAAGACCGTGGATCAGTACTACATTGGATCAACCAACCACAATCAGGTCAGTATTAGTACCTACATATATATATATATATATATATAGAGAGAGAGAGAGAGATTGCCTTGCTTAGCTTGATGATTGATTAAGTTTGGTACATTGGTGGTGCAGTACTACTCGCATGAATGTGTAGAGAATGTGCTGGACTCTGTTGTTATGTCACTGCGCCGCGATCCCAATAGGAAGTTTGTATTTGCTGAGATGGTAAACATACAATATCATTTATATATTCATCAACCAATGTATATATATATATATATATATATATATATATATATATATATATATGGCATTGTTTTTTGGATACTACAATTACTACTTGAATCAAAGATGTGCATTAAATTAACTCTACATTTTGATCATAATCGGTAAAGAATCACAAAGAGATAAATCAATTTAGGTTGTTCAAAGCTGATCGACCAACAAATCAAGAAAAAGCTAATAATTGACCATTTTCACTAAAAATTAAACGTGTAATTACCAAATCAACAATCTGATTAGTTTGAGTAAGGTTATGTTACCCCAACAAAGAGCTAATAATTTATATATAGTTACCAAACAAACAGTCGGACAAAGAGCTAATAACATGGGACAGCCTTGACCAAATTGGTCTGTTAACTTATAATCACAATATTACAAATTTGACTCTAAAGGATCAACTAATTATCCGACAGAATTTATCCAGTAATGAATGCGGACTTGTCAAGAAAAGTTGAATTTAACTAAAAGATGAGTGGTTTTGAAGGCATTTTTCAATCGATGGTGGGAAGAGCAAAGCCCAGAGATTCAAGCACAAGTAAAACAGCTAGTAGCTTCTGGGCAGTTGGAATTCGTGTATGTACATTATATTATTATATTGATCGATTTGGAGGTACTTAATAATTATATATATTGGAGCGATTGCTATTCCATAATCCATAATTTAATTTGATGCAGAAATGGAGGGTGGTGTATGCACGACGAGGCAGCGTCCCATTACATAGACGTGATTGACCAAACAACTTTAGGGCACCAGCTCATAAAGACTCTGTTCAATGTAACTCCGCGTGCTGGGTGGCAGATCGATCCATTCGGGCATTCCGCAGCGCAAGCTTATCTCTTCGGGGCTGAGGTACACTACTTTTTAAGTTTAGTTAAATTGCAAAAATCATGAAACTTTTTGAACTCATTTGGTTGCTAATTTGAGCTCCATTATTGTGTCCTTTGATAGTTGGGGTTCGATTCTGTGCATTTTGCGCGTATTGATTATCAAGACAAAGCAAAACGTAAGAATGACAAATCTCTTGAGGTTGTATGGCGCGGCTCCAAAACTTTTGGATCTTCATCTCAGGTTTGTCAATGCAAGTTCTCTCTCTGTATGATTTACTTAAATTTTTCCAGATTTACTCATGATAAAGTGTCGTTCCTGTGGTGTGCAGATATTTGCAAATGCATTTTATGATCACTATGGTCCACCATCTGGTTTTCGTTTTGAAGTGAAGGAGAACTTTGTTCCAATCCAGGTTCTAGAAATTGAGAGCCAGTTTTGAACTTATATAATGCACCTATCTATCTTAACATTTTGTATGTGCATGCTAAAATTTGCAGGATAATCCTCTTCTTTCCGACTTCAACGTGGAGGAGCGTGTTAATGATTTTATCAATGCTGCTCTGTTTCAGGTGGAGTTGTTCAGCAAACTTTTAGACTTAATAAAGGTTAGAATATCATGCTTCCATTTTATGATGCATTACACCGTCTTGATCCACAGGCAAAGGTAACGCGGGCAAATCATATCATGTGGACCATGGGGGGTGACTTTGAATACCAGTATGCTGAGACTTGGTTCAAGCAAATGGATAAATTAATTCATTATGTCAACAAGGTACTTCCGTTTCCAAACAGTAAGGATCAACTAGCAAAGTGCCAGCCTTTCCCCATTTGAAACGTAGGCATGTTGCGATTGACAAGTGTTTGCAAAGTTGTAATATCTGCAATGACACAAGGAAGCTAGAAGGGATTTAAACGCTTTCCTTTTATTACAGGATGGTCAAGTAAATGCTCTATACTCTACTCCATCAATTTATGTTGATGCAAAGCATGCAGCTAATGAAATCTGGCCCCTCAAAACAGATGATTATTTTCCGTGAGCATCTCTTGATTTCTATTGGAATGTCAAGTTTCAGTGAATATCTGATTGTCACAATCCATAATACTTAATTCATTTTTTATTTTTTATTTTATTTTATTTTATTTTTGTTCTAGATATGCAGACCGTGAAAATGCTTATTGGACTGGTTTCTTCACCAGTCGCCCAGCTTTCAAGCGATATGTTCGTATGCTGAGTGGATACTATCTGGTTAGCTCGTTACACATCTCTTCTTTCCTTTATGTGCTCAACTCAGTAGGCCATATACTTGTTGCATGGATTCAGTATGTTTTAGTATTTTACTACTTTACAATTTACATGCATCATTACAAATTCATATGTTGTCCACAGATTCCTGTCACGTTATCATTAGCGGAAGTATAGAAATTATGCCATATTACTTGAGGTGGATATTCTACCAGCATATCTTACCATGAAGCTCTGTGTTGTGTGCAGTGTTGGTGAATGCATTTAAATCTAAGCTTTGATGGAAATTTTATATCCTTTATTGTAATAAAGTTCATACAAAATGAATATTAAAATAAATTAAATGTGTAAAAACAGGCAGCTCGCCAACTAGAATTTTGGACTGGAAGGAAATCCACTGGTCCTAACACTTACAGTCTAGCAGATGCTCTAGGAATTGTGCAGCACCATGATGCTGTCAGTGGTACTGCAAAACAGCACACAACAAATGACTATGCGAAACGATTGGCAATTGGAGCTTCAGAGGTGAACATCTTTCTCAGAAACTTGATCTTTACAACTCCTTTTGTTCTCACTGTTCTCTGAACTTATTACGTTTGTGCTTTAAAAATATAATACTCTGTGTCTTTTACAGTCAGAAATTGTAGTGAACTCAGCTTTATCATGCCTGGTAAATTCAAAATCAAATGGTCAATGTGATGGATCAACATCATCATTTAGCCAGGTAATGTTCCAGACTTGTGGTCTTCTTGCGTTTGCCTTTGACAGAGTGTATCATAATTCATATTAAAACAGCTTATAAGCTTTAACTTTAGGCCAATAGCTATTAACTGAATGCTGATTTACCAAAGGGGCATTGAGAGGTTAATTTCCTGAGCTGTAAAATCTTGCTTAGTAACGTCTGATTGCTAATTGATGTCATAATAATATATGCACCACTTCTATATGTCAACACTCACAATAAGTAGACCAAAAAATTGATGGATGACATAATAGATATGTTACCCTTCTTTCTCAAAGTGGACTTTGTTTGCCTTAGGTTCTAACATTGTTTCCTTATCTTCCTGCCAATTATAGTTTCTGATTGCTGATGATGCCAAATACATATATTCCTTTTTGCATGCTTTACTGTACACTTGTTGGTAAACAGAAGTACTAATCTGTCATTTTTTGTTATGCATCACTATCATAATGACCGAATATGGCGTGTTTATATAGCTTTGTAATTTTTAAGCCACTCCTAGAAGAAAGGGTTCTCTTCTGCTTTGGTGGAACTTATTGGCATACCATCCAATATTGTTTTGACCCATGTTTTTTTTTTTTTTTTTTTTTTTTTTTTTTTTTCATTATTGTCTTGTTTCTGAACAGTGCCAATTACTCAATATAAGTTATTGCCCACCAACTGAGGAAGATATAACAGAAGGGAAGAGTTTGGTAATCTTCCATCTGCATATAAGCCTGCCCCATGAACTACCTATTTTTCTCATGAAAATCTCACTTCATATGGTTGTTAATTACAGGTTATTGTGGCCTATAATTCACTTGGATGGAATCGTACTGATGTCATCAAGATACCAGTAAATGCATGCCCTTCTTCTTCATTTTAAAGTTATCAAAAAGAAAGATTGATTCTAATTTGAAATGTTTGGATTTAATTGGAAAACTTAAAAGCATTGCTTAGAGAATATCATACATGGGCAATGATGCATGATAACTGTATACTGTAATTAAGTTACATGCCAAATAAATTTGACAATTTGTTCATGTATTCTACTATTAATGAACTACGGAGTACTTCTGAGTTCGAAATGAAAAGAAATTAAACACATAGATTTTTGTAGAACTCAATGAACAGGGGGGCCCTCTCAAGATGAATACTTGCATATTCTTTTGCAGTTATTTTGTTCACATTTATTGTCAGGTGGTTTATATGCTTTTGCTTACATTTTACTCACTAGAAAAATATTTAATTAACAGGTTAATGATGCTGATCTTATTGTACACGATTCCATGGGAAATGTTGTAGATGCACAATACATAGAGTTGGATAGTGTTACAAGCAACTTGAGAGAATTTTATGTTGAGGCTTATATTGGAAAATCACCAAAAAAAGCGCCAAAGTATTGGCTTTTGTTCCCAGTATCTGTGCCACCTCTAGGATTGAATTCTTACTTTGTTTCTAAAGCATCTCAGAAAAGTACGCCAACAAGACTTTCTGCTCTGCAACTCATCTTATGTTTGCTTTACTCGATCTTTGTTGACTGTATTTTGGAATGGAATATTAAATAGATCTTGTACTCCTACAAACTTTAGATGGAAATATTGGATGACTTGATCCTGACTTTGATATTTATGCATCAGCTTCTTTTTTGTGTTGCATGATGCAGGGGGTCACAATAATGGCTATATTACAGCGATGGGTCTTCAAAATGATGAAACTGTTGAAATTGGACCGGGGAATCTGAAACTGTCCTTTTCGTTGGCATCTGGACAACTTACACGTATTTTTAATTCAAGAACAGGGGTAAACTGTCTTCTACCTCTGAACTGAAACATAAAATTACACTGAATATTATGCTGTTGCAATTATTCCCACAGTTGACGATGCAACCTACCACAATATTGCCTGTAAAAGGAACCTATAATTGCTAACTCACCAGTCACCCCTAAGAGCCTTATATTTATCGGGAGGGGTTTAGTGTAGGGAAAAGTGTAAAAATAGTCTTAGAGATCACATATTCACATTTGATGGATTCTAACCTTTAATGAACCTGTAGCTCATTTACATAAAGGAGAAGTTCTCATTTCATCTGTAGCTCATTTAACTAAAAGAGAATGGTCTCGTTTCACTGAAGGATGATTTTAATTTCAAAGATAGTTGAATGGTTGTTTCATTACCTTGTAGTAACTTGTTAGAATGATTTGGAGTTTGTTAGTCTTGTTAGAGTCCTAAGGTTTCTGTTAGAGTTCTTTGGGTTAGTTGTGGCTATGAAATCATCCTTGTACCTATATATACTGTATAGTCTCAGCTTAGTAAGATGAGATGAGACACACAGAACATATAGAAATATACAGTTGAGTTTATTGTTTAACATGGTATCAGAGCGAGATTGAGGTGACTGGTTAGTGGGTGTTGGTCGGAAAGAGGAGGCGACGCCGGCGGGAGAGGCGGAGCGGCCACCGGAGTCCTCACGCGCCGGCGCGTGGGCAGTTCTCCGGCGTCTTCTCCAGTCGCGGTCGGTACCATTGGGCTCGTCTCTGAACACCCAACGCGTCTGCAGTGGTGGTGTACTCCGGTGTTGCGAAGGGCTACTGCGTTTTGGACTGCTACGTTTGGACCTGCTGCGTTTTTGGATTGCTGCGTTTTCGGGTTGGTCTGTTTTGTTTATTATGGCTGAGGAGAGTGAGCTGAGGATGGAGGGCTGCGTCGAGTGGTTCAGTGAGGGGTTTGGGTTCATAACCCCCGATGACGGTAGCGAGGATTTGTTTGTTCACCAGTCTGGTGTCAGCCGAGAAAGAGAGACAACCGAGAGAGATGGTAGGGGAGGTCCACGAAGCTGGGTGGTCTGAGGTGCATGAAGCTGGGCGGTCTGAGGTCCACGAAGCTGAGAAATAATTAGGCAGTAGTTTTCTTTTGTTTATCGTATTCGTATTAATAAGTCTTGACCTTTGTATTTTGTTTATCATGGTTTGTCGCTCTAAATTAATTTGATATGGGAGCAATTCTAGGGTCTGAGTTGAGTCAAATGCAGCTTGTTCAATGTGCGTAAACAGGGGTGCTGCAGGAGTGGGCAGCACAGGTGCCAGGAGTGGGGCGGACCTGGCATATGCCGCGGGGGAGGCAGACGGCTGAAGAGTGATTCAGAGTGAATCAGTTTACGTGCATGCACCAGGGAAACGCTGTAGTGTTAGGCAGCGTTGATAAGGGTGCATGGTGAGAGGTACAGGTGCACTATGGTCTAGCAGCGCTAAGGGTTTGTGGAGTGAGAGGCAGGTACGCTGTGGTGTTAGGCAGCGGTGATAAGGGTGTGGGGAGTGAGAGGCAGGTGCGGCGCTGTGGTGATTGGCCTAGTTTTTGTTGGCTCCGTAGAAGTGTTGTTGGTGCGACAAGGTGCGTTGTGGACTGGTTTGGCACAGCGTGGTTCGAAGGTTGTTCGAGTGGTTCAAGACGTGGGCGTTAGCCTTGGAAGTTATGAGTCTAGGTCCTATGGTTCATGTGATACATATGTAACAAGTTGGATGCTCCAACTTGAGGGGGAGTGTTAGAATGGTTTGGAGTTTGTTAGTCTTGTTAGAGTCCTAAGGTTTCTGTTAGAGTTCTTTGGGTTAGTTGTGGCTATGAAATCATCCTTGTACCTATATATACTGTATAGTCTCAGCTTAGTAAGATGAGATGAGACACACAGAACATATAGAAATATACAGTTGAGTTTATTGTTTAACATAACTTATGACCTTTTACTAGGTGGATATACCGGTACAACAAAGCTATCTTTGGTATGGTTCGGGATACCAGTATCCACAGGTGTATATCTATTTTTCCTGTAGATTAAATGTAGATCACAGATAACACTATATGATAACCTCATAATCCTGTATATTACTACTGTGCAGGCTTCAGGTGCATATATATTTCGACCAGACAAGTCAACTCCAAATACTGTTTCAACATCGGTAGTTAATCTTTCCCTCCACTAAATACTGATCTTCTTGCTAAGTACATACTGCATTGATTGGAATACATGCCTGTCATCAACAATGAATTCAGACTAAGTTTTTTTTTTTTTTTTCATGCCATTATTTATCATTCTGCAGTTTGTGGAGCAACCATGTGAGGTTATATACTGCATGAAATTGGAAAATAACACTTGACTATTGCTTATAGGTTCAACTAAAGGTCATACGTGGACCCTTGGTCGATGAAGTTCATCAGCAATTCAGCTCATGGATATCTCAGGTTGGTACTCCTATGCAGATGCAGTGCATCAAAGTACATAGACAATATGATAGAGATAAATATTTGAGACATGTGACCCTTAAAACTGATGCTCAATGACCTTTATATGTAGGTTGTTAGAGTTTACAAAGATAAAGAGCATGCTGAATTTGAATTTACTGTAAGTAATTTTTGTCTTTTAAAAACTTTTGATTGAGTTACTACGTATATGTTTGTTATCTGAGAAATAAAGGCATACACTTTACATGTCTTTTCAATTGAAGATTGGCCCGATTCCTAACCGTGGTGAAGAGATCATCACAAAATTGACAACTAATATGGCCACAGACAAAGTGTTCTACACTGATTCTAATGGAAGAGATTTTCTTAAAAGGGTAAGTCTGATCTATCTTCTAACTTCATGCCTTTGTTATTACTTCTTCCTACCTGTCAATTTGGCCATGACTTCTTCTATACGTTTCAATGGACTCTTCCATTCTCTCAATCCTTGGAAGCACATTTAATATCCATTATGAGAGTATTAATATGCTTTTTCTCTTGCATGTATGCTATAAAGATATTGCACCTTGTTTCCATTAATAATTTCTATGTGGTATTTCTCATTGTTACATGAATAACTCTAGCTACATTCTGATGCTTGCCAGGTTAGAGATTACAGATCTGATTGGCCCCTCCAAGTTAATGAACCTGTAGCAGGAAACTACTATCCGGTAACTCTGCCAACTCATATTGATAAGTCCATCCTTGTGGAATTGTGGGATTTTCTGATCAAAAGTTTCATGTAACAGAACAGTTTATGACTAACTGAATATGTCTGGAATCTGGATTAAAGAAAAGCAAATTTTAATAGTTAGCATTATTGCGAAAAAAAATAAATGGTGTAACCAGCATGCTGTGGTATTTTTCTCAATTCACTTTGTCCATCTAATTGATCATAACAAGTGGTTTGGATGAACACCAATATGACCTAATAGAATGTTGTCTGTATAATTCAGTTAAATGGTTTTTTGCTCATTCTATCAATATTTACTTTGCTTCTTTACATTTGTCTTATTGTTATATTCAGATCAATCTTGGAATTTACACAGTGGATAATAAATCAGAGTTTTCTGTTTTGGTTGACCGTGCCACTGGAGGAGGCAGTATACAGGATGGGGAAATAGAACTAATGCTCCATAGGTTCAAAAAAACACCTTGAAATCCACCTTTTTATTGTGGCATTTTGCATTTGATATTTGATCTTGATACAAAAGTCAATTATATTTTATCCTCATTGACCAGGCGAACAATCTATGATGATTCTAGAGGAGTAGAAGAACCTCTTGATGAGACAGTATGCGTTGGGTTCAAATGCGATGGACTAAGCGTGCGTATGCTATGAGTCTTTATGTAGTTGTTGGTTAATACATCCCCTTGTTGCTAATGAAAGTGAATGTATAGGCTGATTGCCGTTGTTTCATGTGTTGGTCAGATTCGAGGGAACTACTACGTGAGTGTCAACCAAGTAGGCGCTGGATCTCATTGGCGCAGAACAACCGGCCAAGAAATCTATTCACCCCTCCTCTTGGCTTTTGGACATGGGGTCAGTACAATTTTAGTTGAAGAGAGCATCATAGGCAGCCTTTACTATCTCTTTGAAAATAGCAAATGTTATAACTGTCTTCTTTCTCTTTGCGTTGATTGTGTTCCAGAATCCCGAAGAATGGAAGGCATCTCATTTGACAAAGGCCACCATGATGGATCCAAACTACAGTTTACCTCCTAATGTTGCATTAATTACTCTGCAGGTGATTGTTTAAGTTACATGCATCTCTTTCAATTACCTGTTCTTGATAAATGGACTATAGCTGATAATATTATTGCAGGAGTTGGCTGATGGAGGTGTACTACTCCGTTTCGCACATCTATACGAGGTAAAACCTTAGTCTTTCACAAGCATACATTTTACATGGAGGAAACTTGTGTTCAAGAAGGAAACAAGACATGGCAAGTTATAACTAGGTTAAAAGACTAAGAATCCGACTTAAAAGAATACCAGCCTCCTATATATGTCAGTTACGTTTTAGCCTTGTGAAATATGATTTCTGAACTTCAGATGCATGATGAACATTATAATAATTCCTTAATTAAGAAAGTTACGTTGTATACATACTATAATCTTCATGGACAGGCCGGTGAAGATGCTGATTATTCGTCATTAGCTAAAGTGGAACTCAAGAAGATGTTCCCTGGGAAAACAGTAAGTATAGCAGACAAGTTCTGTTTTTGTTATTTTCTGTTAGCAAACCAGTTCCCTTTTAATCTTTTCTATGATGGTTTGCTGGGTGGGTGCATTGTGTATATGATATTTCGGTGTAAACAGATAAAGGCGATCAAGGAGATGAGCTTATCTGCTAATCAAGAAAAATCTGAGATGAAGAGAAAGAGTTGGAAGGTTGAAGGTGACAATGGCAGTGAAGCTACTCCCATTCGCGGTGGTCCTGTTGATCTGTCAAGTTTAGTAGTCGAGCTCGGTCCCATGGAGATACGCACTTTCGTGTTAAGTTTAGTCGAGCTCGGTCCCATGGAGAATGTGAGCAGAGTTGGTACACAACCCCACAGCTCAGCATAAGCTTATTAGTTGAGCTGTGTGTTTTCCTCTTTTCTGTTTGTGGCTGTTACCCTTATTTCTATATGAGGGTGAATAAGGCATTTGCCTTTTAACACGAAATGTTATGAATAAACGTGTTAATCCATTAACATTTTTTTAAAAAAATACATTTTATATCTATCTAGTATTATAATAAGATGCGTTATAAATTAATACTAACATTACTAGTTATTATGATTGTTGTTTTTTGTTGTTGTTATTATTAATGTTGTTGTTAGGCCAACTTGCCATATAACTAGCATCAAATTTAAAGAAAAATTCTCTTAAGAAAATATTTCATATAAACCAAACATGCCATAAAGATGGATTAAATAGTAAATATAGTCAATCGAAATTGTCCCGACCCATTGTAATCCCTAAGAATGAATGCATGTATTAAACTACCATACACTCCTGGCTTCTGGTAGATTGGAAAATAATGAAAGTGGTCCCATCTATAAACAGTAGTTGATGGATTGATACACATTCATCTGTATCCCAATGTGCCATTAATGTTCTCATGCCCATTGCAAATTGTTCTATCAATTTGATGAAAATAATCGAATTTAAGAATATAAATATTGAAAAAATGATAGGATATATTCGCCTTCAAATTAAAAGGGGTAGCATCATTTTTTGTGAATATATTAGGACTAGAGGTTGTAATTTGGTAGACTATAGAGAAGTAAATCAGTCTGTGTCGTCCATCAGTTTTTAAAAAATCTAATATCCTGTTTGGTAACATGGTTGATAAGTTAATTTTGACGGGTTTGAATGGTCAATAGTTTACTTTAATAGTAATTTATGAGTTAATAAATTAATACAATATGTTTATACATTTATAAGTCATTTTACATACAATCAGCTAAAAGTAAACAATTAATTTATCATACACGTTTTTACAACAGCTAATGCTATCAGTTGATCAAATTAGTTAACATAATTAGCTATTAGCTATCGGCTAATTGTCTGATCAATTTGATTTGAGTTATCTGACATCCTTTATAAAAAAAATTATTGCTTTATTTATAAAATTTACATTTAAAAATATTGATGAATGTGATAAAATTTGCCGGTGGTCAGTGTCCTATTTTAGACGGGGGATGGGCTATGTGTGAGAGTCACCGCCCTTGTAACTTGTAAGTTGACGTTTATGTGGGCTCTTTGGGTGCATGTGCATTATTTTGGAGGGCGGGACCACTGCTTAATGAGGTTGATTGGTTGGTGACTATAACTCCATGCTCTCAAAGTATTCTCAATAGGCATGAATTTTGAAAAGTTTTTACATAAGTGATTAAAAATTCATGGTTGAAAAAATTGTTAGGCGCCTGGGACTGCTTAGAACACCTAGGCGGGCGCCTAGAGTGATTAATCGGCGCCTAGAGCGCCTAGGTGACCGATCGCCTAGCGTCTAGGCGCCGATTAATCAATCAGCACCTAGGCCCGATTTTTGCAACACTAATTAAGAGAGATAACATGAGAGAGAAGAGAAAGAAGAAAAAAAATTGCAAATGAAATAACGCGCCTGGCTGGACGCTTATGGTGCGCATAACACGCACCAAGGAACAGTTTCACTGATTTGGTGGGGTCCACACATCTGACAAAAACTAAGGTCGTCGTGCAAACACCTAAATTACTCTCTCTATTCCACATATGATTATATTTCCTCAAAAGCCATCTTAAAGTCTCTATTGGGGATGTTCTGAATGTGCAAAAGTTTTTATAAGAAAAATTGTTAACATTACATTGTCTATAACTGACCGACTCAAATTATATATGAATGCCAATATGTCGCTCTCATTGTGAATCAAACTTCTAATTTTGTAATTATCAAGTTAACTATATGACCAACTTGATTAGAGTTGCCTGCAAATAAGTTATTTTAAATAGACCAAATTGTGTATTTGAGTCTCATAATTTTAAACAAAATTTATTGAAATCCCTTAAACTAGTAAAAAGTGCAATTGAGCTCTAATTTTACCTATATTTAATATGTTAATGATGTTTTGGTATTAACTAGGCTTTCGCGTGTGTTAATTATTATTTTGAAGTGGCGATTAATTGACATTCAACGTGGTAATTATCACTCCATAATTAATAATGAAGTAATACTGCACATACTGGCAAATTATGCTGTGTATCTGTATGCACCATGCATGGTGAATACGGATGCAAAAATGACGTCGTTTTATTAAAAACTTGATTCCCAACAACAACATATGAACTAAAATTCCAAAATCGATGAACTATAATTTCAGAATCGATGAACTATAATTTCAGAATCGATGAACTATAATTCCAGAATCTAATCTATGAACTAAAAATTTCAGAATGAATGAACTAAAATTCCAGAATCTATGAACTAAAATTTCAGAATCGATGAACTACAATTCTAGAATCGATAAACTATAATTCCAGAATCAATGAACTAAAATTCCATAATCTATGAACTAAAATTCCAGAATGAATGAACAACATAATGTTGTTGCTGGGAATCGAACTTGATTTTTTTTAAGAGGAGACGCGCGTTTTTAATAAAACGACATCGTTTTTGCATCCGTATGCACCATGCATGGTGCATACGGATGCACAGCATAACTACTCGTACACACTCTTACTTTTTACTCTATATTAACGTGGTACACTTTAATTTCTTGAAAAAAAAAAAAGTGAGACGCAATTTTAATTCATTTATTTGTTTTACCAATAAAATCAAGATAAATTGTAAAAAATTTACTCCATTAAAATACACTTATTATATTAATAGTAATAATTATCGAGTTCTACTATATAGACTCTCAAAATTCTACTCCCTCATTATATTCCCTGAGGTGACAAATCAGGATTGATTATTTTCATCATGTGGATTCGTAGAAAAATGTCTACATCAAAAATATGTAAGAGAAAATACAAGTTAGGAGTTTAAAATGGGAGTACACCAAGTATTTTCCATAATTATCAGTCCATAATTAATAACGTGTACAAGTGGGCAGCATCCACACCTTTCAATGGTTATGACTTGTGAAAGTCTAATCACTTTCAAGTCATATTATATTTCAGGTCATCCTCAGGCCTTGCAATTGTAAATTTGTAATCATTGCAATCTTTATGTGTCCTTGTTTTCTTTTTATTTTTTTATTTTTTATTCATGTATTTCAATTCTTATAGCAACCTCATTAATTGTGGTTTTTTAAAATTTTGGAGGCCTCAATTATAAAAGAGAGTAGGAAGAGAAAAAAACAGGGAAAAAGAAAAAATAAATCTGACAAATATTTTTAAAAAATAAATGCCAGTAAATGCGTCCAGAATGGCGCGTGTAATGCACGCCCCATGTTGAGCGCATAAATGCATAATGTCCCTAAACGCACGCATCAATTTTTTAAGACGTGGGTCCCATTAAAAATTTAATTTGCAGGAAAAAAAATTTCAAAAATTCATCTTCTCATTTGTTAAAAAAAAAAACCTCTTTAATTTTTTCCTTTGTAAAAACTCCAAAAAATACACAAATGAAGTTGCTCTAATGGAATTTTTGGACTAACTTCTCTTAAAGCATCCACATCAAAGGAAAATTTGGAGAGCATGCACAACTTTTAATAAATATCAAGCTTACATGGAAGAGAGATAAAAAAGAAAGATAAAGTTGGGATGCCTATGCAAGGACCCGGTTATTGGCAGAAATGTGGGACCCAGCTAAAAAAGAAACCAAACGTGACAGCCTTATGTGGCTGTCACGAGTGCACCCAACAGGCGCGTCAGGTGCGCCAGACCATTACTATCATATTATAGAGTATTATTTTTTTATTTTGAAATCAATTTTTTTTTTTCTTTATTTTCTCTCCCCTCTCATATTATTTTTCTTACTCACACTTATAAAAATCCCTTAAAAATCCCACTAGAATTAAACTGATAAGGATGCTCTTAGTATACTTCTAACCCCATCAAAGCTTCCCGAGCTAATATGAAACCATAAAAGTGTACTAAATACTATTTCAACAATATTTAATTTCATTCCACCTTTGCTTGAACAACACTCTTTAAATCTTTATATAACGTATAGACTCTAAACTATTACAGGGCGTTTGGTTGGAGGGGGGAATTATGTGGGAAAGGAATTGTAATTTTATGGGAGTTGAATTATTGGGAATAAAGTGAGAATTTAAATTTCAGTGTTTGGTTGACAGGAATAGAATTACTGGAAATTTCAATTTCAATGTTTGGTATACATGGGAATTGAAAGGAAATAAGTAGTATAAAGTCAAAAATATCCATTATTATTGTTAGACATTAATTTTAGGTTAAAAAAAGAATGGGTAATTTTGACGCATCACTATCTTTTTTTCCCAGGAATTAAAATCCCAGGGGAGACATGAGATTTTAATTTCATGAAAATGGGGGAATTGCAATTCCATGGAATTGCAATTCCCTCCAATTAAACCACGGAATTTAATGACATTTGGAATTAGGTGAGAATTAAGTGGGAAGGGAATTTAAAATCCTTCCAACCAAACGCCCTGTTAACGCGGTTAGAGATTGAGTGTTAAAACATCATCATCTTCATAAGATTTGTGTATCCTTTTATATCTAAAATTACGTTAGATGAGAGTCTTGAATTTCTTAATTTAAGGTTTATTTATACTTGGCAGAAACCTATTCTTAAAGTGCAACTAAACCAAGTCTCTGTTTAGATTCTTTTTTAAATAATAATAATACTAAAAAAATCCTTTTGATTTGCACTATTAACCAAATCTTAACTAAATTTCCGTTTATTGAGTGAGAACACTTTTCTACAACTAAAGGGAAGTTTGGATTTTCATACTAAATAAATTGAAATAACTTTTTTTTGAGAGCATAAATTGAAATAACTAAAACCTTTTTTTTTTTTTTTTTGAAAACAACTAAAACCTTTTTACTAGACAACAAAATAAAAAAAACAACTTTTAGAATCACATTTGAAAGATACAGTAAAAGAGGAAATGTCAACATTAATCTTCAAAAAGAAATGGTCAACATTAATGAGGTGGCGATTTTCATTGTGTTTGAAAACTCAGAAAATAATTTTTGAAAATCATTTTTTGAATTTTCAATATTTGACAATAAAAAAAATACTAAAATCAATAGAAAATAGAGTATAATCAATGAAAAATATATGGATTTATATATTGCCAGTGCATTATATGTTTGTTTCTAAAAGTAATTTAAATTGTTATTTGTCATTTTCACATTCTCCCATCATCAATTTAAAAATATAAAATAGTGTTTTCTTCCATAATTTGTTTTTATTATCCACCAATTATTTTCTTGGCTCCAAAAAGACGCAAAACTTTCAAAAGCCCCACCCTCACCTCCTCAAGATTGAAAATATTTTATTAGTGTAGTTTATCTCTTATGTGTAATTTGTATGTTATTAAATATGAGTGAAATTTATGCTGGACTGATTATGAATTTCTCTCATCTCTTAAAAAGGATTTTAACTGGCGGAACTAAATTATTTTTGGAAAAAATATTTTTGAAGTTTTTTTTTTTTGAAATATTCATGATGATCTTTTACAATGTAGTATCTGTTATATACTTTTTAAAATACTTTTAGTCTAAAAAATTTAAATCCCATCACCCAAACTTAAACTTATGACCATTCATTTACAGTGATAATCGGGATATTATCACAGTAAGTGAAGTTTAATCCAGTGACTATTTAGATGGGCAGAAAGTCACCATCAAAAGCTGGCCCTTTTGCGTACAAGACCTGTTCTTTTGGTCATCCTTCTCTTTGTTTTTGTCGGAGAAGTCTTTACAGAGCGATCAGAAAGCATCCTAAAATTTATAGCCGGCAGTTTATAAACAAAACATCCTAAAATTCATTGTCAAGGGAGATATCGATGTTGTTTTTTCTTGTAATCAAGTTTTCTCAGACTAATCAATTAATATCATATAGTAAAACTAGTACGGAGTATTTGTTTCATATCTATTAGAATGTTAAATGCGGTAAAATATTTCATTTTGAGATTGAATTTTAAAATAGTGGCATTTTGTGAATTCAAACTCGAGACTCTTAATTAAGACGAAAGAAACTTTAATGGATGGTTGGAATTACATTTTGTATTATTTAATGTAATTCAATCTATTATTGTAATTTATGGTAGAATTCATTAATTTGCAGGCAATTAAACCAAGTTTTAATAATTTAATTATATTTTTTTAAATTAAAATAATTAGCCTTGAATGGAGAAATCAATGAGTCTTTGTTGTCTCCATCAGCAGCCAGCGTTGATTATTCTTGACTCTTGTTTTCTAGTGCCTAGTGTCATGCTTATTACACAGAATCCTTTGCTTCAATTTGCTACATTGCTTACAGGTTACAATAAATATGGCATTTGTTATAAATCACATTAATCTGTATAGAGAGCCAACACTATATAGTGGGTTCTGAAGATCAGGGGTTTGGGGGATTGGGCTAAAAATGGGGGAATTTGCTGGTTTAGTTTCAGCTGCAGTTTGGGTTTTGTTTGTTGTGTGTTCATATGGAAGCATTGGGGCTAGTGGGTACAGAAGATACAGCACTGGGGGTGGCATTGTTGATGGCAAATTGAATGTGCATTTGGTGCCTCACTCCCATGATGATGTCGGCTGGTTGAAGACCATCGATCAGTACTACGTTGGATCAAACAACAGCATTCAGGTCAATACTTGTGGATATACATATATGTGTCTGTGTATTGTTTGTATAAATGGCTGTGTATGGTTTTTTGGCTCTGCACTGTGGTTATGAGAAGACTTGTTTGCATTCAGTTCAATTCTTGTGGATATGCATCTATATGTGTGTGTATATTTCTTTTTTTAGTAATGAGAGAAACTTGCAACCACTAATCGAGGTTGGGCATTGGTTAAACTCTGTCTTGTGATCTTAGCTGATCGGTTCAAACCAAGAAGGCCAAGGGTGTGCATTGGGTAAATTCTGTCTTGTGATAACCGGTTCAAACCAAGAAGGCCAATAGGCGGCTTCCCCTGTGAGTCGAACTTGTAACCTTGTGGTTACCAAGTCAACAGCCAAAGCATTGGGTGAACTCCGACCACAAAGAAGTAAACTAATTTGGGTTGTGACCCTAGCCTGTGAAAGACACTTAGGTTGCCCGTTCAAACCAAGATGACCAATAGGTTGGACTTGCCCTCGACTGGTTCAAACCAAAAAGGTCAATCGGCCACTCCTACTGGGAGTCAAACTTGTAATCTTGTGGTTACCAAGTCAGCAACCTGATTATCTTAGTTGAGGTTGCCTCCTATATGTGTGTGTGTGTATTGTATGTATAAATGTCTGTATATGGTTTTTGACTCTGCACTATAGTTATGAGAAGACTTGTTTGCATTCAGGTCAACACTTGTGGATATGCATATATGTATGTGTATTGTGTGTGTAAATGATGTCTCTATATGGTTTTTGACTCTGCACTATATAGTGACTAGTTTGCTTGATTAACTTTGTTTCCTTAAAATAAGAAGCTATTGGAGTTTATGGAAATTTGAACGAACGCCTGGTGCTTGATAATGGTTGGTGCAGGGTGCATGTGTCGAGAATGTGTTGGACTCGGTTGTTATGTCACTGCGCCGCGATCCCAATAGGAAGTTTATATTTGCTGAGATGGTAAAGAGTTTATCCATTTCGATGACTATTGATTTATTTTTCATTTGGAATTGTATGCCTCGAGTTACTTATGTCCTCTCCCCTCTCCCGCTAGAGTTAGTAGAGATTGGAATTTGGAACTAAAGATCGGTGTTTTGAAGGCATTTTTCGATCGATGGTGGGTAGAGCAAAGCCCGGAGATTCAAGAAGAAGTGAAAAAGCTTGTAGCTTCGGGCCAGTTTGAATTCATGTATGTACATTGATTTGGAGGTACTTAAAAGATACGTTATATTGGCGTAGTGACTGTAATTGTATAACGAAAAGGCGTAATTTGATGCAGAAATGGCGGGTGGTGTATGCACGACGAGGCAGTGTGCCATTACATAGATATGATCGACCAAACGACCTTAGGACATCAGCTGATAAAGAGTCAGTTCAATATAACCCCCCGTGCTGGATGGCAGATCGATCCATTCGGGCATTCTGCAGTGCAAGCTTATCTTTTCGGGGCTGAGGTAATGAACCATTTCCATTCATTTGAAGCACCAAGTAGGGGTGAGCAAAATATCGGTTAACTGTTCGATAACCGATAACCGATTATTCTGTCCTTTGACAGTTAGGTTTCGATTCTGTGCATTTTGCTCGTATTGATTATCAAGACAGAGCAAAACGTAAGGACGACAAGTCTCTCGAGGTTGTATGGCGTGGGTCCAAAACTTTTGGCTCTTCATCTCAGGTTTGTCAATTTAGGTTCTCTGCACGGTTTCCTTAAATTGGCAAATTTTCTCGTGATTAAGTATCGTTCCTGTGCAGATATTTACAAATGCATTCCCGGTTCACTATAGTCCACCAAACGGTTTCCATTTTGAAGTGGACGATGACTCTGTTCCAGTCCAGGTTCTACCAAACCAAACAGAGTGTATATATATAAACTGAAAAAGCCGGTTAACATATCAATCTTAACATTTTGTGCATAAAATTTGCAGGATAATCCTCTTCTTTTCGACTACAACGTTGAGCAGCGTGTTAATGATTTTATCAATGCTGCTCTGATTCAAGTAGAGTTGTTCGACTAACTTTTAATCCAATCTAACCTTTTTGTTTGGAAGTTATGGACTTACTAAAGGTTAGAATATCGACAGGCAAATGTAACACGTACAAATCATATCATGTGGACGATGGGGGATGACTTCCAGTACCAGTATGCCGAGTCTTGGTTCAAGCAAATGGATAAACTAATTCATTATGTCAACAAGGTACTTCCATTTGGTTTCGAAACATCAAGGATCAATTAGAAATGTGCCAAATTTTTCCCCATTTCGATTCGAATATAGTCAATTTCCTTTTATACAGGATGGTCGAGTAAATGCTCTATACTCTACTCCATCGATTTATACCGATGCAAAGCATGCAGCAAACGAGGCCTGGCCCCTGAAAACAGATGATTATTATCCGTGAGAACCCCTTGATTCCTCTCAAAACATAAATAAATATGCAACTATACTAAATTCATCCCGTTATTGGTTCTTTGTGTTTCAGTAGGTTGAGAAAGTATATGAACAGATACTACATTGTAATAGAGCCAGTAGCATTCAAAAAGAAAATACTAAATTCATCCCCTTTTTGTTCTAGATATGCAGATCGTGCAAATGCTTATTGGACTGGCTTCTTTACCAGTCGTCCCGCTTTCAAGCGATATGTTCGTATGCTGAGTGGATACTATGTGGTTAGCTCATTACACATCTCGGTCAATGTTATGTGTTCAATTCAGTATAGAGTTAGTTCATACAAAACGAATGTTAAAATAAATCGAATGTGTAAAAATAGGCGGCCCGCCAACTAGAATTTTGGACGGGAAGGAAATCCACCGGTCCTAACACTTACGGTCTAGGAGATGCTCTAGGAATTGTGCAGCACCACGATGCTGTCACCGGTACTGCGAAACAGCACACGACAGATGACTATGCGAAACGATTGGCAATTGGAGCTTCAGAGGTTAACGTCTATCTTTCTCGATCTTTACAACTCGTTTTGTCTCTCGCTTTAAAAAATATAATACTCCGTGTCTTTTACAGTCGGAAATTGTAGTGAACTCAGCTCTATCGTGCCTCGTAAATTCAAAATCGAACGGGCAATGCAAGGGATCAACATCATCATTTGACCAGGTGATGTTCCCGACCATTCAATATTGGTTTAATTTAATTTGATCTATGTTTTCTTCTCTTCTTTTCTTTAATTATTGTTTTATTGCTTTAACTAACAGTGCCAATTACTCAATATAAGTTATTGCCCGCCAACTGAGGAAGATATAACAGAAGGGAAGAGTTTGGTAATCTTAGCTTCCTTCTACTTATAAGCCTGGTCTATGAGCTATCGATTTTCTGGTGAAAATCTCACTTTGTATGGTTGTTAATTACAGGTTATCGTGGCCTATAATTCACTCGGGTGGAATCGCACTGATGTCATCAAGATACCGGTTAATGACGCGGATCTTATTGTACGCGATTCCATGGGAAATGTCATAGAAGCACAATACATAGAGTTGGATAATGTCACGAGCAACTTGAGAGAATTTTATGTCGAGGCTTATATAGGAAAGTCGCCAAAAAAAGCGCCAAAGTATTGGCTTTTGTTCCCAGTATCTGTGCCGCCTCTAGGATTGAATTCTTACTTCGTTTCTAAATCATCTCGTAAAGGTACACCTGCAAGACTTTCACTACTGGAAATTTTGGAATTTCCAACCACCTGAAATGATCTTAAATCAAGTCGAAAGTCTTGTTTTGACCACTTTTGGTATCCGAAAAAACCTTTGTTGCTATTTCTGACCACTTTTTGCTTTCGACTTGATTTAAGATTACTTTCAGGTGGTCGGAAATTCCATAATTTCCAGTAGTGTTTCTCGTCTCTGATCTGAAATTCATCAAATGTTTGTTTGTTGATTTTATTTTGAAATGACATAGGCTTTGTTTTGATCTTTATGCATCAGCTTCTTTTGTGTGTTACGTGATGCAGGGAGTCGCAATAATGGCTATATTTCAGCGATCGGTCTTGGAAAGAATGAAACCGTTGAAATTGGACCGGGGAATCTGAAACTGTTGTTTTCATTGGCATCCGGACAACTTACACGTATTTTTAATTCAAGAACAGGGGTAAACTGTCTTCTACTTCACATAAAATTAAACTGAATGAATGAGCTAGTCTAATTCGTGGCCTTATAAACCCATATGTTTCTCTCTTATTTTTCAATGTGGGACTCTTAACAAGTAACGTGTGAACTTTTACCAGGTGGATATACCGGTGCAACAAAGCTATCTTTGGTATGGTTCAAGTTCGGGAGGCGAGGATCAACAGGTGTATATCTATTTTCCTGTGAATATTAAATGTCGACAAGAGATGATAACCTCCTAATCTTGTATATACTACCTGTTGCAGCCTTCCGGTGCATATATATTTCGACCAGATTCATCAACTCCAAATATTGTTTCAAGATCGGTAGTTAATCTTTCCCTCCACTAAATATTGTTCTTCTTCTTCTAAGTACCGAAATGATTGGAATACACACCTGTTCATCGACAATGAAATCGCACTTAGTTATTTGTCATACTTGGCTATTGCTTATAGGTTCAACTAAAGGTCATACGAGGACCCCTGGTCGATGAAGTTCATCAACAATTCAGCTCATGGATATCTCAGGTTCCAATTCTTTCAATAATAAATTTTGCCAAATTTCTTTCCTAAATACGTTTCAAACGAACATTGTTTCTTCAGAAACATTTGCATTTCCGTGTTTGAATGTTTGAGACCATGTGACCTTTAAAACTGATGCTCGATATGATGAGCTTTCTGTCAGGTCATTAGAGTTTACAAGGATAAAGAGCATGCTGAATTTGAATTTACTGTAAGTAATTTTCGTCTTTTAATACTTTTGATCGAGCTACAGCTACTACTTATATGTTTGTTATCTGAGAAATAAAGGAATACACTTTACTTGTCGTTTCAATTTAAGGTCGGACCAATTCCTACAGAAGACGGTGAAGGTAAAGAGATCATCACAAAAATGACAACTAATATGGTCACCGACAAAGTGTTCTACACTGATTCTAATGGAAGAGATTTTCTCAAAAGGGTAAGTCCGATATCTATCTTCTAACTCGATGCATTATCGAGTGTTTTCAAATATTACATGAATAACTCTTGCTACATTTGGTGCCTTCCAGGTTCGGGATTTTAGATCCGACTGGCCCCTCCAAGTTAATCAACCGGTAGCAGGAAACTACTATCCGGTAACTCTACCAACTCACATTGATGCATCGATCCTTATGGAATTGTGAGGTTTTCTTTATATTTGCCTTATTATAATTTTCAGATCAATCTTGGAATTTACACAGTGGACGATAAATCGGAGTTTTCTGTTCTGGTTGACCGTGCCACTGGAGGAGGCAGTATAAAGGATGGAGAAATAGAACTAATGCTCCATAGGTTTAAAAAAAAAGCACCCCCTTTATTGTGTCATAATGCATTTTTCGTATTTGATCTCGATACAAAAGTTGATTATATTTTATCCTCGTTGAGCAGGCGAACGATCTTTGATGATTCTAGAGGAGTGGGAGAAGCTCTCGATGAGACAGTATGCGTTGGGGGCATATGCAATGGACTAAGTGTGAGTATGCCACGAGCCTTTATGTTTCAAAATATACGAGTAAACTTGACTTGTTGCCAATGAAAGCGAGTGTATGTATAGGCTGATTCCCGCTGTTCCATATATGTCTTGGTCAGATTCGAGGGAACTACTACGTGAGCGTCAACCAACTAGGCGCGGGATCTCACTGGCGCCGAACAACCGGTCAAGAAATCTATTCACCACTCCTCTTGGCCTTTGGACACGCGGTCAGTACATAGCCTTTACTCTCTTTGAAAATATCGGCCCTGTTTGGTAAATGGCGATTAGCTGATAGCTGTTAGTTGTTTGCTGATTGGGTTGATTAGAGGGTAAATGGCTGTTAACTGATAGTTGTTAGTTGTTAGCTGATTGGGTTGATTAGAGGGTAAATGGCTGTTAACTGATAGCTGTTAGTTGTTAGCTGATAGATGTTATAACTGTCTTCGGTTTCTTTGGGCTAATTGTGCTGCAGAATCCAGAAGAATGGAAGGCATCTCACTCGACTAAGGCCACCATGATGGATCCAAACTACAGCTTACCTCCTAACGTCGCCTTAATTACTCTGCAGGTGATTGTTTCGGCTACATGCGCCCTCTTTCAATTATCTGTTCTCGATAAATGGACTATATATAGCTGATAATATTATTGCAGGAGTTGGCTGATGGAGGTGTACTGCTACGTTTCGCACATCTATACGAGGTAAATTCTTAGCCTTTCACAAGTATATATACATTTTACATCGAGGAATCTTGTGCTTAGAAAGCGAGACAAGAAGGAAACATGTCAAACAGCAAACAAGACGGTCAGCTATGGACAACCTAGACTGGTTTACCTCTTTGTGGTTCTTTGCCGGCTAGGGTCACAAGGCACCCGGTGCACACCCTCGGGTAGTGCTGCGAGATTCTCTCGTCACTCAAATTAACACAATGCTCTTAGAGTCCCACAATTTTGAAAAAATAAGAGAGAAAGATATGAGTTTATAAGGTCATGATTAGACTAGCTAATTGATTGGATTCAGTCTTTTAGTGTGGTGGTTTGACTCATGTGCATTATAGCCCAGTAATCTTAGATTATAACATATGCACACTATATATCTTCACGAACAGGCTGGCGAGGATGCTGACTACTCGTCGGTAGCTAAAGTTGAACTCAAGAAGATGTTCCCCGCGAAAAATGTATGTATAGCCCACGAGATATATATGTGTGTGTGTGTTTGTCATGTGTATATGATGGTCTGCTGGTTCATTATGTGTGTGATCAGATAAAGGCCGTGAAGGAGATGAGCTTGTCTGCAAATCAGCAAAAATCTGAGATGAAGAGAATGAGTTGGAAGGTTGAAGGTGACAATGGCAAAGAGCCTACTCCCATTCGAGGTGGTCCTGTTGAAATGTCAAGTTTAGTAGTTGAGCTTGGTCCCATGGAGATAAGGACTTTTGTGTTGAGTTTTTGAAGAAGAAATAAAAAATTATTGCAGATAATGTAATGGTTATTAATGGCCATGTCAATGTTAAGTACCATACAAACTTTTAATAAATGAAGGCCATGAAGCTTAATCAAATCTTGATTCCAATTCAGTTAAATTTGAATGTGAGTTGAGTTCAAACTCAAGGCCTGTTGGCTTTACTTGTCGAGTTGTTGTCGAGCTGTTCACGAGTCATATAAATACAGTTTAAGTTCGATCCAATTGAATTGAGCTCAAGCCTTATAAAAATTAACAATTAAACATGAGTCTAAAATTTTAAGTCTAATTGAATTCGAGTTCAATCTTTAGCTACTTTAACTTTTTTAAGTTTGAAAATGAGCCTATTTAGGTTCAAGTCAATAATTATACCAAGAACCCGTGATTCACCTTGTAAGAAGATTAGTAACACAATATACTAAATATTTATTTTTAATAGATTGAATATTTATTTTTTAGAAGTCCATTAGTTGAATGTTTACTTTGCTAGCAAACCGGCCTTCATCCATAAATGAAAGATTAATTCACATGTCCGGAAATGGATAATTAAGTGAGTAGATCATGAAGTATAGAATTATTTTGGGAAAATGGTCAAATAGGTCATCGAACTTTAGTTGAAAAGTCAATTAGTCCCTTAAACTTTTTAAAGTTATAATTACACGCATTATTAATTTATTTTGATGCAACAAAGCCCAAAAATTAGTTAATGACCTGCTATCATAGGCCATTAGGATTCCAGCACCCAGACAACGAGATTCCGGTGAAATTTCAGGCAACAAAGTGACCGATGAACAGTCGCCGGTCACAGAGAAGGAGACCAAGGTTGCCTTCTCTGTGGAGAAGGCAGCCCAGATGATCGCCTTCTCAACCGAAGAAAGCGACCACCGCCGACGAGTTGCTGGAACCTAATAACCTGTGATAGTAGGTTATTAATCAGTTTTTGGGTTTCATTGCATTAAAATAAATTGTTTATGAATATAGTTATACCTTAAAGTTTAGGGAATAATTGACTTTTCAATTAAAGTGAAAGTCTATTTGACCATTTTTCCAATTGAGTTAATACCCAAAATCGTCCTCGACTATAGTGGTTTTTCTCAATTTCGTCCTAAACGACTTTGGTGACCTAATAGCGTCCCAGACTTTTGTGTTTCGCTCAATTTCGTCCTCCATTTGTTATTCCGTCAAATTGGTGTTAAATAAAGGGACAATTCAGTAATGTCAATATTGATCTTTCTTTACTTTCAACTTGTGAAGTGCGAAATTCCTCTGTCTTGTACGAATTACACCAAGAATTACTCCCGGACCTGCAAATCAAATTTTATATTCGCAGTTTTAGGAGTAATTCGTAAAAAAAAGGGGGATTTCGCAGTTCACATGTTTATGAGTAAAGAGATGCCAATATTAAAATTACTTAATTGTCTATTTATTTAACACCAAATGGACAGAATAACAAATGATGGACTAAATTGAGCAAAAGCACAAAAGTCTGGGACAAAATTGCGCAAAACACAAAAGTCTGGGACGATATTAGGTCAACAAAGTCGTTTAGGACGAAATTGAGAAAAACCACTATAGTCGAGGATGATTTTGGGTATTAACTCTTTTTCAATTATTTTAGTGCAATTTACGTTAAAATTTTGGGCACACCTTCAAATATTGAGTCAAACAAAATTAATTCACATTTCTAACGTCACTCAGATATGTTGTAGTGCTCGGCGGGAATATGAATAACTACCATTGACAAAAGATGTGGTGAAACTGTTTCCGAGCGATGACGAAACTGCTCAGGCAGCTCGCCCTTATTCCCATCTGCTCCTCCGGTGCCGGAGGCTTTTTTTTTTTTTTTTTTTTTTTTTTTCTAGAAACACTCCTCTCCGTTCCCGGCACGATCCTGCACTTGATTGATAAGAACTGCTGCGTTGATGATCTCGCCAATCGCCATTGCCACAAGAGACTTGCTCACAGTTCATTTATGCCAAGGTAACAACACCTTGGCGAGTCAATGCCAAAGATTTTGCAATCTAGTGGCTGCAGTTTATGATTTAACACATGTTTAATCCCTAACTTATTGAAATACACTGAAAAAAAAAATTTGGAATAGAGTCGATTTTGTGAATAACACTATTTGATTAACGAAATAACGGAATTAATTTTTTATTCGATCAGTAATGCCGAATCTGCCTGCTGGTAGTGAAGTCCAAAACTAAACTAGCCGGAAGTCACCATCAAAAGCTGCAAAATGTGCTCATCCTTCGTCCTTCTCTCTGTTTTTATCGGAAAAGTTTTGACAGAGCGGCGAAAGAAAATCCGAAAATTCAGTAGCCGGCTAATATTTTCCAAGTCAGAAATCAATGACTATTTGTCACCGTCAATCAGGCGGTTCTATATTTATTCTACTGTAAGTCTTGGATCCTACTGTCATATATATCCTATAGTCATTTGAGAAAATCATGGGTTTGGGCTAGACATGGGGAGTTTTGCTAGTTTAGTTTCAACTGCAATATTGGTTTTCTTTGTTGTATGTTCATATGGAAGCATTAGTGCCAGTGGATACAGAAAGTACAACACTGATGGTGGCATTGTTGAAGGCAAATTGAATGTGCATTTGGTTCCTCACTCCCATGATGATGTGGGTTGGTTGAAGACAGTCGATCAGTACTACATTGGATCAAATAACAGCATTCAGGTCAATACTTGTAGCTCTGCATATACAGTGTGTGTGTGTATTAATGTCAGCATATGGTTTTTCACTCTGCACTATTGTTACCTTTGTTAAAATATGAAGCTAACGAGGATTATGGAAATTTGAATGGAACCTAGTGCCTGATAATGGTTGGTGCAGGGTGCATGTGTTGAGAATGTGCTGGACTCGGTTGTTACATCACTGCGCCGCAATCGCAATAGGAAGTTTATATTTGCTGAGATGGTAAAGGGTTTTATCCATTTGGATTGGATTGCTAATTAGGTGAACTTATGTTGGTAATATTGCTGCACTAGGACTTCAAAATTTATGTAGCATTGTTTCTTCATGCTACCTATGCAGAAGTATCATAATGGGACATCTATGACTGATGATAAACAATGAACTGATTTGTTTTTTGAAGTGCATCTTCTTGGATGCATACTTCACTGCTACAAAACTGTGATTTTTTTTTTCAATGTAAGAACAATGGAATTGTATGCTTCCTTAGTCCTGTGAACATTACATTCATTTTCCCCCTTTTAAGTATCTAGAGATTGGAACTAAATTTAGTGTCTTGAAGGCGTTTTTCCACCGATGGTGGGTAGAGCAAAGCCCGGAGGTTCACGAAGAAGTAAAAGAGCTAGTAGCTTCTGGCCAGTTGGAATTCGTGTATGTTCATTGTTTGCGAGGTACTTAAAGATATCTTATACTGAGCAGTTGTTTTTAAAATGATAAAAACTGATAATTTATTGCAGAAATGGTGGCTGGTGTATGCATGATGAGGCAACGTGCCATTACATAGATATGATTGACCAAACAACTTTAGGACATCAGCTAATAAAGAGTCAGTTCAATACAACACCGCGTGCTGGGTGGCAGATTGATCCATTTGGGCATTCTGCAGTGCAAGCTTATCTTCTTGCGGCTGAGGTATTTTAAGTGTTTCCATTTACTAGGAGCACCGTTTGACTGCTACTTACGTTCAAGTTAAATTTCAAAATCATGAAAATTTTGACTCATTTGATCACTAATTTTCACACAATCAGACCAATTCTTCTGTCCTTTGATAGGTTGGCTTTGATTCAGTGCATTTTGCACGCATTGATTATCAAGACAGAGAAAAACGTAAGAGCAAAAAATCCCTTGAGGTTATATGGCATGGGTCCAAAACTTTTGGCTCTTCATCTCAGGTTTGCCAATACAAGTTCTCTGTATCTTTTTCCTTAAATTGCCTAATTTTAACATGATAAAGTGTTGGTCCTGTGCAGATATTTGCTAATGCATTTCCTGTTCACTATAGTCCACCAGATGGTTTCAATTTTGAAGTGGATGTTGACTTTGTTCCTGTCCAGGTTCTACCAACCAGAGAATATATATAACTTAAAAGCCAGTTTCAACTTATCATGCACCTATAGATCCTAACAATTTGTGCATGCTAAAATTTGCAGGACAATCCTCTTCTTTTTTACTTCAATGTTGAGGAGCGTGTTAATGATTTTATCAATGCTTCTCTGATGCAAGTAGAGTCATTCAACAAACTTTTAATCCAATCAAAGCTCATTTCATGGACTTACCAAAAGTTAGAATATCACATTTCCATGGTATGATGCTTACACCATCTTGATTCACAGGCAAATGTAACACGTACAAACCATATCATGTGGACAATGGGGGATGACTTCCAATACCAGTATGCTGAATCATGGTTCAAGCAGATGGATAAATTAATTCACTATGTCAACAAGGTAATTCCATTTGCTTTCAAATCAATAAGACTTTATTAGCAAAGTATCAACTTGCTGGCTTCTTTTTCCCTTTCATAAGCTAGTCATGTTGCTATTAAGAATTATTCTGTTCACTTCATTTATTTTTGGGGTACACTTGAGGGGGGCTGGGATTGCACTTGTAACACTGAGGTTAGGAGGCCTCCCCCTTGGCCACTTTAGCCAATGGTCATTAGCAAGTCTTTGAGATGAAGGCTGGATGAGTTTGACATTACAAGGGGTGAATTTGATAGGGAGAAGATAGGCGTTTACATGTCTTAATAATGGAAGTTTACCTAGTACCTTTCCTGCGCAATGTCTGGGATTGCACTACTAACACTGAGGTTAGGAGACCACCCCCTTGGCCACTTGGGCCAATGGTCATTAGCATACTGATGAATTCTTTGAGATGAAGGCTGGATGAGTTTGACATTACCAGAGGTGAATTTGATAAGGAGAAGATAGGCATTTACATGCCTTGATAATGGAAGTTTACCTAGTACCTTTCTTGTACAATGACTTCTTTGTTTCAAGTGAGGTTGGTGTTTGTAAAGTTGTACTATCTGCAATGGCACAGGGAAGCTAGAAAGACTTCAACTGCATTCCTTTTGTTACAGGATGGTCGAGTGAATGCTCTATACTCTACTCCATCAATTTATGTTGACGCAAAGCATGCAA